TGTTGAATGAATGGATGAATTAATTAGTTTACTTTGGAGCCATAAATAAACAAGGTCTCAGCTCATTTCACAGAATCAAACTCCTGATTAATTCAAATCACAGTACTCTAACTTATTTCTCTTTGCTCTCTCAGACTTGCCAGTGTCATGGTAGGATAGGATTTTTCTTAATGTACTTCAATATTGCCTTCAATCAAAGTGTTTTAAAATCTATTTTCGTAACAATGTTTCCCAATATTTTCCTGTTTAGAGAGTTTAAAATTCTTCCATTTTTAAAGTCATGGATATCTGTGGGCTGAGTGCGGTGGCTTACGCCTGTAATCCCAGCATTTTGGGAGTCTGATGCAGGCAGATAATGAGGTCAGAAGTTTGAGACCAGCCTGACCAACATGGTGAAACCCCATCTCTACTAAAAATGCAAAAATTAGCCAGGCATGGTGATGTGCACCTGCAATTCCAGCTACTTAGGAGGCTGAGGGCAAGAGAATTGCTTCAACCTGGGAGGCAGACGTTGCAGTGAGCCGAGATTGTGCCACTGCACTGTAGCCTAGGGGACAGAGTGAGACTGTCTCAAAAAAATAAAAGGTAAAAGTAAAGTCATGGATACCTGTTTTTGAGTGTGTCTGTTGTTAAGTGCAGGCACTATTTTGTAGCTTTAAATAGACATCATCTCAAGTCTGTAAGAATTATCCAAAATGGTATCTAATGATATTTCAGACACTATTAACGCAGATTGTAGCCACTAGATCCTGAGGGTTTTACTAGATATTGGTTACTGAAACTGAACTTTCTTGAACTCTTTCTTTTTTTTTTCCACCATGGTTTCTGCATTTCAATGTATCACCTATTTTTGTCCTCGAACTTAAATATTTTCAACAAAATTAAATTACATATGAATCATCCCTTCTTTCCTGATTTTTGAAATTACCGATTGCTTCCTATGATGATGATTCTTCTGGTCCTTTTTGTAGTTAACTTATGTTAGAGTTTATGAATATTCACACATTTTGGAATTGCATATAATTTTCTTCTTAATTATTTTATCCTCTTTCCCGAAAGTTGTTGTTACTTCTTGTAACTCTTTGTGGGAAAAATTAAACCCATATTTCACTTTTTTGATACACTTACTGGTAATTGAACTCCTTGATTTATGCTCAAATTGCTTTTCTAGTTACCCACTTTTATGGAAGACATTATTTGGGGTTTGTTTAGTGTAACAAGCTGTTTTTTTGTTGTTGTTAGGTATATCAAGAAGTGTAGACTTTTCTATATATAGTGTCATTTTTCCCACAGTAGTTTTTTGAAAAGTCTGTTCAAATAAAGGTCATCAAAAGATCTCTTCCTAAACCTTTCCTCTACCAGAAATATCTCTTGAATGACGTGGTCCTTTCTCCCTTCTTGCTTTTATGTAAGTCCAAAGCGAATCTGCCCCTGATCCAGATTGCTTGCACTTGTGTCTTTTGGGGGCCCTTCTGCATTCATTCTTCCTTTTCTTCTAAACTCAAAACTGTATTTTCTCTGTTGGCTCTTTCCCTTTAACATAGAAGTATACTCATCCTTTTTGTTGAATCTTGGTATAAAAGGCTTTCTTTACCATATTTACCCTTTAACTACTACCTACATCTCTCTTCTCAGCCAAATACTTGGGAAGAGAAGCCCTCAGTTTGTGTCATTGTTTTCTCACCTCCAGTTCAATACTTTACCCACTGCCTGACATCCAGCTCACTCACATGCACACAAGCCCAATCACTAAATTATCATAGCTGATTTGTAGCTTTCCTGCCCTCCTGGCAATATATTTGACTCTGTGCATTGAGATAATGCATATTGAGTACTTATTGACCACACACTGTGTTAGGTGCTGCTGTTATAGAAATGAAAAGCAGACATCATCTCTTTTGTAATGACTTATGGAGGCAGTCATTCCTGATTTGTATGCAGGTCTCTTGACTCCCAATGCTCACTTTTGCAAGCTTCACTTAATGCCGTGGAAATCACCCTATTCTCCAGGGTTTTTTCTTCCCAGTTCTTCTTACTATACCACTTCTCAAGGCAGTCACTTCCATGTCCATGGCTTCAGTTGCATTCTCTATTCTCTGAGGACAATAGAATTTTAAATGTTTTGTTTAATGTATTAGCTTTATTTTATACAAGATGCCTCATTTGCCATAACCATAGATTCAGAATTCCTCCATGGAAGTAATAAATGAAAAATGGTGATATTATTAGCATACAAATTTTAGGAAATTTCCCCAGTTACTCTTAATGGTTTGATTTAGTATGTGTGGTTTTTTTTGAAAACATATGTTGGGATGTCACAAATTGACTTAGCCTACAGAGATTTATATTCAACTTTTGACCATAGAATTCCATTTTATGTGACACTGAGAGTAAAAAATACCTTTTCCTCCTTACCTATTTATTTTCCTACATTCTCTGCCAGGAGGAAGGCACCGCTATGTACCCAGTCTTTTCCAGCAGAGTCTGAGCAGCTGTGTTTTCCCTCTACTTCCCCTCTTCTTTCACATCTCATGACCAAGCACTTCCTACTCCATCTCCCAAATGATCAGAAAACATTTTCTTCCACTTCTGTTACTGCCACTGCCTTTATCATTACTCTTCTTTTAGATAAAATCTCTTAATTGGTCTTGTTACTTCCTGCAGTCCTTCCTTATAATACAGACCACTATACACACATCTGACAGAGACTCTTCACCTTTGTGTGGTTCAATGACTCAAATTTTCAGAATAAACTTGAAACCATCCCAGCATCAAATTTGGGGTCAAATAGAGGTGGATCTGTATCCCAGGTTTATACCCTGTCCAGCAGTGTGGTCTCAGAAAACTGAACTTCTTAAGCCTTTTTGTATCTGCTTACACTCATTAAGAGTTAGGACTGTTTTGGCTGGGCGTGGTGGCTCACGCCTGTAATCCCAGCACTTTGGGAGGCCGAGGCGGGCAGATCATGAGGTCAGGAGATCAAGATCATTCTGGCTAACATGGTGAAACCTCGTGTCTACTAAAAATAGAAAAAGTAGCCAGGCATGGTGGCAGGTGCCTGTAGTCCCAGCTACTTGTGTGGCTGAGGCAGGAGAATGGCGTGAACCTGGGAGGCGTAACTTGCAGTGAGCCGAGATCGTGCCACTGCACTCCAGCCTTGGTGACAAAGCAAGACTCCGTCTAAAAAAAAAAGAGTTAGGACTGTTTCACACATACAGTGCCTGGCATGTAGAAGGGACTTAATCAATGTTGAATGAAGGGGAGGTATTTTAAAATCCACATTAAAAAAAAATGTTTTTCTTTTAAAAATGTACTAATCTACAGTGTCACTTTCCCTCCAAGCTTGACTTCTACCTTTACTTTCTGATATGGTTTGGGCATGTCCCCACCCAAATATCATCTTGAATTATAATCCCATAATCCCCACATGTTGAGGGAGGGACCCGGTGGGAGATAACTGGATCATGGGGACAGTTTCCCCCATGCTGTTCTCATGATAGTGAGTGAGTTCTCATGAGATCTGATGGTTTTATACGTGTTTAACAGTTGCTCCTTCACACGCTCACACTCTCTGGCCTGCCGCCATGTAAGAAGTGCCTGCTTCCTTTTCCTGAGGCCTCCCCAGCCATGTAGAACATGAGTCGATTAAGCCTCTTTCCTTTATAAATTACTCAACCTAAGGTACTTCTTCATAGCAATGTGAAAATGAACCAATACAGTTTCTGATAATCATGCTTGAGTAACTAGGGAATTCATACTACCTGGGATTAAACTGTGGCCCCAGCCTGAGCAGTCGTGTGACCTTGGGGAGATAACTTACCTTTTCCATTTCAGTGTCTTCTGTAAAACCTGTAAAATGAGATTGTTTCTAAGGGTTAAATGAGCATAGCACAGTTAAAACACTGTCAGGCACATACTGATTGCCAGATATTGAGTATTCATCTTTATTGAATTAGGACTGTGGTACCCCACTTTATGCCTCTCTATTTTGTATGACAAAATCATGCTTAATGCTTTGTTAGTAAAAGAAAGAAAATCTGAAAGTCCTTGCCATGGAACGGGAGAAAAGGGAGTTGGTAAGTTTCAGCATTTCAGAACTTGGAGGAACAAGTTAAGTTTCTGTTTTATGGAGAAAGACATGGAGGCAGGATGGGTCCTAAGGTGTCATTCAAGACACACAGCCGTAACTCTTTATTGAGAGTAGAGCTAGGGCCCCAGGGACTGCTGTGGTCAAGTTGCAGACAAAAACGATCACTCATTGGAAGACAGGAGAGGCGTATTTAGTTACAAAAGCAGTCAACAATTCAGGTGTATCTACATTCAGTCAACAAATAAAAGTTGCTCAACTTGGTTGCTAATGGGACCCACTCTACTAACTGAGGGTTTGTATAGAACTCATAGAGGAAGATGGCTTCAAGTAAGGAACCACCTTGTGCTTTTCTTCAGACTGAAAAGATCAGGAGGCTGGTGATGAATGAAAACCTTAGTCCCACTGGCACTGCACAAGGGGCAAGGAGAGCAGCAGCAGCATAAACCACAGGGTGGGGCAGCCCAGGCAGGGGCATTCTGAACTGTGGGGGAAGTGGGGCAGCCAGGGTGGGGCATTGTGAGCTGTCAGGGCGGGCATTGTGAAGTGTGGGGCGGGGCATTGTGAGCCACAAGCCTGGGCTCCCACCTGGGCCAGTGGGCTTCAGTCTGTAGGTGACTGCAGAAGGAGGAGGAGCTCCATCTATACTTTCTTCAGGCATTTGTTGTGTCTCTCAGCACTTGTTGGGTTCACAACCTATTAAATAAGCCAGCTGGTCTTCACCCTCCCAGACAAGTCAACTCATGGGAGGTGGCAGGGTGCAGGCATTGGCCCAAGCTCTGGCTGGGGTCTGGCTGTGGCGTGGGCAGGCAAGCAGCAGACAAGACCATTTCTGCAAGTGCAGCATAGCCTCGGCCTAGGGCAGCGGGAGTGTGTGGCCAAAGCTGTGAGCAGAGGCACAGGTGGTGACAGGAGTAGAGGCACCCCATGGGGAATATACTGACCTGTTGTATGTGTCCCAGGGCCAGCCGTGAGTTGGACCAGCACCAGGGGTCAGTGTGCCCCTGTGGGTCTGAGATCTATAAGGCAGCAGCTGGAGACATGATAGCAGGAGTGCCTGTGGCTGCTGCTGTAGAGCCTGGTGAGGTGACTTTTGAAGCTGGTGAGGGCCTCTATGTGCACCACATCTGTGAACGGGAGATGCCAGAAGGTAAGGAGGTAACGGGTGCCGTCTGTCCTTGGCACACTTCTGGTTGCTGCTGTCACCAGGGTCCTCTGGGAGGCATCCCAAACCTCAGGCTCCTTTCTGCCTGTCGCCAGCTATCCTAGGGCTGGCCAGGAACAAAACCTGGCTTTGCCTTGCGTTCCCACCCCTTAGTCTTTCCCCACAGAATCCAGTTTCTTTTCTCCTTCCCTCCCAAACTCCCAGTTCTTTCTCCCTCATCTCATTCTCCCAGGCTGGCATGGGACCATTTATTTATGGCTGTTCTTGTCTGTAGCTCTATTTAGTACCTGTGGGACTTTGTTGAAGCTTCTTTGAAATATTCTCTTCTTTTTCTCAATAAAAACTCAAATATCCCAACTTTCCAGTACCCATCCCATTATCTTTGTACCTATCCAGATGGTACCCTAAGTGAAGGAACCAGGTAAGTGCCTAATTGTTTCCTTTGTTAAAGTAGCTAAATCTCAGGACAATTTATATTGAAATATTTGGAGATTTCTTATTTAAAATCAGAATGCAGTTTGCCATAGGAGAGACTTATATGGATTGCTTTAAGTCACCTTGATAGAAGCTGCTTGCTTTCTTCTAACTAATTTGAACATAGATGGAAAGAAAATGGAGGGTGCTTAAAATAATTGGGAAAGGTGTGAAATGTCATGGCCAGGGCTGCAGAAAAATGGATGTGAGGGAGTTCCCCCGAAGGAGTTTACCTATGAGGCTCTGATTACTTTAAAATTCTTTCTTTAACACAAAATGTGTCTCCAGATTTATTCTGGCGACTTAACAGACATTATTTACCTCCTTGTTCTAAAAGAGAGGTGGAGTTGGTTTGTGGTCAAAACTTTCAAAAGACATAAAACGTAAATGTAGACTTTGAATGTGTAATATAAAGATTGAAGGTTAAAATGTCAGACCTTGCCTGTGTAAGAGTGTTTGTTGCGATGGCTCTCTCTTCGTCCTTCCCCCTCTTGACAATAGCATCTTGTTCAAAGATAAGAAAGTTGGAGTTTTTCAGTCTCTACACTGCTGGGAGAGGCAGAGGGATGGGAGGGGGTAGAAAAGAGAAAACAGTTGGTTTGCCTCTAAAGTTTTGCAAAGAGATGAATTTAAGTAAAAAGAATTCTGGGTAACAATATGGTTCTTGAATAAAACGTAAATTTTTCCAAATAGAAAACATTGTATCATAAAGATATTAAATCCATTGGCTCTTTGGTTTCATTTAAATACTAGAGATTTATTACTGTAGAGGAAATGTCTTATAGCTCTTCTATTTAAACTTTGATTCGGCTCGGTATAGCCAAGACAATCCTAAGCAAAAAGCCCAATGAGAACACATGGACACAGGGAAAGGAACATCACACACTGGGGCCTGTCGGGGGGTGGGGGACAAAGGGAGGGAAATCATTAGGACAATACCTCATCCATGTGAGGCTTAAAACCTCGATGGGTTGATGGGTGCAGCAAACCACCATGGGACATGTATACTTATGTAACAAACCTGCATGTTCTGCACATGTATCCCAGAACTTAAAGTGAAAAAAAAACAGGCAAGTGAGCTAAAAAAAAAAAAAACTTTGGTTGGGCTCTTGTTTTTTCAGAGTGGGAATAATTAAGACTCATGGTGAGTGTGACTTTGTAAAAAAAAAAAAAAAAAAAAAACTTTGGTTGGGCTCTTATTTTTTTCAGAGGTAGAATAATTAAGACTCATGGTGAGTGTGACTTTGTAACTTGGTGTACTATACTCATTTTTCAAGATATTTAAGAATTTAGGATAAACAAATATGTGAATTAATTCATTACACCTTTACACACAAAGTATGTTTACTTGTGTAAACATACTCCACTTGGTGGTATAAGGAAAGCCTCCAAGTGATTTTACACACCAGTTAATAGATGAGAAGTGTTGGATGAGAGCCCAAAAAAGGCTCTTTATTGTCATTCTTTAGGATTACAGCACAGTTTATGTATGTCTCATTTGGCCCTTTGCAATACAAATAAGGCCTGTATACGTTCTCCCTATGTTTTGCTAATGAAGAAATGAAGACTTAGAGATCTCACGTGACTATGGAAGACAGCTACTCAACAGAACTAAGGTTCTGTGTCCTCAGAGTGACATGGAAGAGACAGATATGCTGAATTTACTTTTTTAAAATGAAAAAAACCACCAGAATACATCTTATATTTTGCCTATAAAATTGACCTGTCTTTTAAAACATACTACCATCTTGTTTTATTGTATGCAGTTGATTTTACACAATTTAAAGGCAAATTTACATTTTTTTAAATAAAGGAAGGTCTCACTATGTCACTCATGCTGGCCTCAAATTCCTGACCTGGGCTCAAGGGATTTTGCCATCTCAGCCTCCTGAGTAGCTGGGACTACAAGCATGTGCCATCTTGCCTGGCTTCATCTTATGTCTATACATTCATTAGTAGAGGTAGTGAAATAGCTTAAATGTGGCAGTCAAATAAATGAGTTGATAAATTTTTATAATGATCACATCTTTTTTTCTTCTCTCCCTCTATAGATATACCTTTGGAGTCCAACTCTTCTGACCATCCAAAGGCAAGCACAATATTCCTGAGAAAATCTCAAACAGATGGTGAGACAACATTGTTTTTTCTGCTAAGAAAAAGAGTCAAAACTCTTGTTGTTTGATCAGATGTATTATAGAAAGTATTTAGAAACTCATATTGGTTTAATTTTTTCAACTTTCCACATATTCACTTGTCTTATTTTAATATGTGATATGCTTTTTTTAGTTGTTACTGTTAGTGAAATCATGTAAACTTTTTGTTTATACATTTTGCCATCTTTTTATCAACACAATTTGTCGTGTGGAGGAGCCATAGATTTATCTTTATTTATAATTTTTTACACCTTTTCCTTTGCTCCAAAGAGTACATTTTAAAGATAGAACTCAGGCTTCACCTTGGTTTCCATTTAAACAAATAAAAAAACCATAGTTGTTCATCACCAGAGATTGAATCTGTGATTTTGGCCTCCTCTTGCACAGTCCCCTGATCACATGCGTTTATCACATCCAAGTTTATGCTGCTTGAAACTTTTAAGTTATTAAGCTTTTCATCTGATATAATGTAAATTTAAACATGCCCTACTTCTGCTTATTTCCTTAATTCCTTAACAAATCCTCGTTTGTTTGCTAAAAAGCCATACACAGCCAAGTTTTCCAGTTGATTTAAGCAGCAAGAATACAAGTGAGGATCTATAATAATATGGGAAGTAATGCAGCACAGTAAAATATGGGAGTTTGTAACCTTTCTTTTTGTAATTTGAGTAAACTTTGCCTGTCTTGAGTCCTTTATTTCTGTTTAGAGTATGTCTTCATTTTTGCATTATTATAGAAGAGGTACATAAGGCTGGGTAATTTATAACAAATAGAGGTTTAATTGGCTCAGATCTTCAGGCTGTACAAGCATGGCTTCAACATCTGCTTCTGGTGAGAGCCTCAGCAAGCTTACAATCATGATAGAAGGCGAAGGGGAAGCAGGTGGTTCCACATGGTGAGAAAGGGAGGGAGAGGCAGGTGGAGGGAAGGTGCCACACTCTTAAACTACCAGAATGAGAATTTGCTTATTACCATGGGGATGGCACCAAGCCATTCATAAGGAATCCACTGCCATTACCCAAATACCTCCCACTAGGCCCTGTCTCCAACATTAAGGGTCACATTTTAACATGAGATTTGGAGGGGGAAAATATCCAAACCATATCAGAGTTGTTTTTCCCTGTTCCTTCCAGAGCTGTAGGCTTCTCCCACATGGAGAGCATGGAAGAGGTAAAACAAAAGCTATTCCATGTCCCTCACTCTTCAGTGGTAGGAATGTTTGCCTGCAAGATCCTTCCACCATCAAAGGTGGAGGCAGTGTAGGAAACAAAGCATGGCCCAAGTCCTCTCGGAGCTTTTATTATGCTGGCCTGTTTTTTTTTTTTCTTTTTTAGAAAAAATGATTTTTTTTTGTGGTGCAGACACCATGTCCAATCAGGTTTGTAGAGTCATTTTAAAATTTAAATTTAAGACAGTTTACTTTCCTGTTGTTTTGTTTTTAGTGACATATTAGTAGATGACCATTAAGTGTGGTTCGAGATGCTTACAGGGATTCTGCTGCATCTGGAGATAGGTGCCTGGCCAGAAAGTAGTTCTTAGAGATGTTAACTCTTAGATTCTGGTAAATAAAGTAAGCTTTGTGTAAATGCAGAATGAGAAAATACTTATGGCTCATATATGCAACAGTTAAACTTTTTTATTAACTAACTTTTTAATCTGGCCTCATTTTTTTTTTTTCTCTTTTCTTTTGTATATAAGGATTCTTTCATTTGTATGTAATGGAAACAAAAAGTGAACTAGGTCAAAAAGTAAAACTAAGTTATTATATTTTACTTTATGAGATTTATCATACCAGATAATTTAAATATAAATTTTTGAAAGTAATTTTTTAAAATGGAATTTTTCCTCATTTAGGAGTAATTAGTAAGACATTAACTACTACTCTTATTTTATGGTATTTGTGTCAGAAGTGACCTTTTCTTTTTCATTCTTAGTACAAGAAAAAAGAAAAAGCAACTATACAAAGCATGTAAGTAAACAGTCAAAAAGTTAAGAAACTGATAGTTTGATATAAAAATCTCTCTCTTGAATTATAATGGGGACCCAGTGGTGATAGCATGGACCTCTTTTTGTATTTTCCTAAGTATCAAAAATATCCAGAGAATTCTTCAGCTTAGTGTGTCCACCTTTTAAGAATTTCTGATGTTTAAGTTAAATTTCAATAGTCTGGTTGTGGTATAAAGATCTGCCTTAAATATTTAATCATATTTTTAATCAAATAACAGAATAGCTAATAAATAACATAACAAAATAACAAATACAGAATAACAAATAACAAAAATAGAATAGCTATCAGCACTGTCTATTGACTTTGTTGTAGCAGGTGAAAGCATACCTTCCTCACTACACCATGACCTTATTTTTCTCCCTCTGTTTCTTCCAACTGTAGCACACTTTTTAATTAAATCAGTAATATTTACATGATTATGACTATGCAAATATTATTCACTGGTAAGTCATATGGTGTTTTCACTGTGCCTCTGCATTATATGTCCTTCATTCTTTCTCTGAAACAGTTCTGAAATCTGAGCATTTCTGCACTTTTTCTGGATCATCTATTTTTCCCTAGCCTATGTTACTTTACCCAGCCAAATACAATAAGTAGCCTCTGACTGGTCTATTTGCTTTCACATCCATTTTTTTTTTTGGCATGAAGCTAATTTTCTGACTATATTAGTTTGCCTGTTTTTTGACAGCTGTTTTTCCCCCAATTGTTGTAGCATTTATCCCATGCCTTTCAAAGATACTTTCCATCTGCTAAAACACATCTGTTCCTTTTTTTTTTTTTTTTTTGCCGAGGTTGGGGTCAACTTTCTTTGGCATTTTGTCATCCTAGTTCAATATACAATGGCTTTCCCTAGATATGCTCAATGTCTGCTTTTCTGTGCTAGCTCCTTAAAGTCTTTTGGGATCTCACATAGCTGCCATCTTAGGTGGGATCACCTGAGTCCTAGATTCTGTTTCCTGCTGTCCTGTTCTCCTTTCCAGTTGTACTTGAGCACATTTTCCTGGGCAGAGATGTTTAGGGATCTGGCCAATCTTAAAACCCCTCCTTTTTGATATAGAGTAAACTTCTAGGTTAAATCTAAACTTTATGGTTCTGAAGATATTTTGCAATTGTGCTGTCATTACAGTGTTGTTCTTGACTCTATTGCCATTGTGAGATACATTATTTATAACCAGATTTTATGTATCTGTGGAAGCTTTTTAGAAGCTTCTCTCTCACTGAGATTCTGAAATTTCATAACAGCTTGGTAGGAATCTTTTCATTTTATTGAGGCTACTAAGAAGAGAGTCTCAAGAGGACTCTCTTCTTGAGAATTTTTGTATTTTCTCTGTTCCTTTTTTTCTGACAGTCTTGTTATTCAGATACTAGGTTGCTTAGAAAAGTATACCTGCATTGGTTTTTAACTTTTCCCCTTCGATTTTTTTTTTCAGCTTCTGTGACTTTTTACTGTAATATTTCTATTGAATTTTTTATCTTTTTTTCACAGTGGTTTTAGATTTTTTTTTTTTTTTAAGTTTTGCTCCTGATTTTGACTGGTCCATGAATTCCTTTTTTCTGTTGTTTTAATCTCTCTTGTTGGAGGCTTCCCTCCAATGTGTGGCGTTCCCTGGTTTTATTTGAAAACAGGACTTCTGTTAACTGGTGGCACTCAGTGTGAGGTTTTGGAAGCCAAACTAACTTTTCATTTGTGGGACTTTAGTGTATTATCTGGGGATCTTTACTTGATCCAGTTCAGTTTCTTCTGAGAAAGGATCTCCCAATTTTCTGCCTGGGAAGTAAAAGAATGTCTACTTGCTTTCCAAAAGCAGAGTTAGGGAAGCAAGTTGGAGTTCTATTTTTGGTGTACTGTTTTCTTTATATCTCAGGTTTAAGCCATGGTATTTCTGAACTTAGAAATTCTCAGGTTTGGTATATCCAGAGAACACACATCTAAATTTCTTATCAGATGGGAAGACAGGTGGACTTGGGGCTCTAATCACAGATTTTCTGACATTGCTGGCTTTTGTTTTACATTTTACCCTACCTTCCAAAGTTCCCTTTGCCTCTAAGTTCACAGCCTGTCTTTAGTTCTGCAAGACAAACTGGTTTGCTTCTCTTCCAGTCACTTTCTGTAGGGACCAAAGTTGTGCTTCTCTGTTATATACTACTCCTTTATGTACTTTTTATGTCCCAGCATTTATTAAAAATCATCTCTGTCAACCTTCTCTCCTGATCCTGTTTGTAACCAGTATTTTACATATGACTAACGAGACTTCCAGAGGCAGAGGAAATAAATTTGTGGTCAATCTATTATATTTAATCCAAATTTAGGACCTATATTTACATGTGAATCAAAGTTTAATTTCAATATAATTAATGATATTAACCCAGACAATTCTTTAGTGATGTATCTATAATTAGCATATTATACTTTTCTCCTAAGGTGTTGTTTAATATTTTTATTCAAACTTATGCTGCCATATTATCCCATTACCTCACAACATAGATGGAGCTGTTTTCATGAATGTCCAAAGTGTTAGAAATATTTAAGTGAATTAAAATTTGTTTATTTTTAGCCTGGTCAACATAGCAAGAGCTCATCTCTACAAAAAGATTAAATAACAAATTAGCCAGGCATGGTAGCATGTGCCTTTAGTTTTACCTACTCAGGAGGCTGAGGCAGAGGATCACTTGAGCTCAGCAGTTTGAGGCTGTAGTTAACTATAATTGCACCACTCCACTCCAGCCTGGGCAACAAAGGGAGACCTTGTCTCAGAAAAAGAAAAAAGTTATTATTCAAAAACATATCTAAACTTTGTCCTGCCAAAAAGGAGAGAGGAAAACATAAACTTGAGTTTTCATTTTATTTTATATTTGCTGGGAAGAATGCCATAGTTTATTTATTTATATACTTTTATTTCCATAGGTTTTGGGGGAAACAGGTGGTATTTGGTTACATGAGTAAATTCTTTAGTGGTGATTTGTGAGATTTCAGTGTACCCGTCACTTGAGCAGTATCCACTGAACCCAATTTGTAGTCTTTTATCCCTCACCCCCCCACCCTTTTCCCTGTGTCCCCAAAGTCCATTGTATCATTCTATGCCTTTGCATCCTCATAGCTTAGCTCCTACATATGAATGAGAACATATGATCTTTAATTTTCCATTCCTGAGTTACTTCACTTAGAATAATAGTCTCTGATTCCATCCAGGTTGATTCCTTATTATGACTGAGTGGTATTTCTTAATCCATTTGTTGATTGATGGGCATTTGGGCTGGTTCCATATTTTTATAATTGCAAATTGTGCTGCTGCAAACATACATGTGCAAGTATCTGTTTTGTATAATGACTTCTTTTCCTCTGGGTAGATACCCAGTAGTGGGATTGCTGGATTGAATGGTAGTTCTACTTTTAGTGTTTTAAGGAATCTCCACACTGCTTTCCATAGTGTTTGTACTAGTTTCCATTTTTACCAGCATTGTAGAGAAGTGTTTTCTTTTCTCTGCATCCACACTAACATCTATTATTTTTTGATTTTTTAATTATGGCCATTCTTACAGGAGTAAGGTGGTATGGCATTGTGGCTTTGATTTTCATTTCCTGATCATTGGTAATGTTGAGAATTTTTTCATATGTTTTTTGGCCAGTGGTATATCTTCTTTTGAGAATTGTGTATGTATCGCCTTAGCCCACTTTTTGATGGGATTGTTTGTTTTCTCTCTTGCCCATCTGTTTTGAGTTCCTTGTAGATTCTATATATTAGTCCTTTGTCAGATGTATAGATTGTGAAGATATTCTCTTTCATTCTGCAGGTTGTCTGTTTACTCTGCTGATTGTTCCTTTTCCTGTGCAGAAGCTATTTAGTTAAGTCTTACCTGTTTATCTTTGTTTTTGTTGCATTTGCTTTTGGATTCTTGGTTATGAAGTCTTTGCCTAAGCCAATGTCTAGAAGGTTTTTCTCATATTATCTTCTACAATTTTTATGGTTTCACGTTGTAGATTTATGTCCTTGATCCATCTTGAGTTGATTTTTGTATAAGGTGAGAGTTGAGGATCCGGTTTTATTCTCCTGCACGTGGCTTTGCCAATTATGCTGGCACCATTTGTTGAATAGGGTTTACGTTCTTCACTTCGTTTTAGTTGGCTTTGTTGAAGATAAGTTGGCTGTAGGTATTTCAGTTTATTTCTAGGTTTTCTATTCTGTTGCATTGGTATATGTGCCTATTTTTATACCAGTACCATGCTGTTTTGGTGACAATGGCCTTATAGTTCGAAGTTAGAGAATGTGATGGCTCTAGTTTTGTTGTTTTTGCTTAGTTTTGTTTTGGCTATGTGGGGTCTTGTTTGGTACCATATTTTAGAATTTTTTTTTTAAGTTCTGTGAAAAATGATGATGGTATTTTGATAGGAATTGCATTGAATTTGTAGATTGCTTTTGGCAGTATGGTCATTTTCACAATATTGATTCTACCCATTCATGAGCATGGATGTCTTTCCATTTTTTTGTATCATCCATAATTTCATTCAGCAATGTTTTGTATTTCCCAATGGCATATCAAAAAGATAATCCGCCATGATCAAGTGGATTTCATACCAGGGATGCAGGGATGGTTTAACATATGCAAGTCAATAAATGTGATACACCACAGAAACAGAATTCAGAACAAAAATCATATGATCATTTCAATAGATGCAGAAAAAGCATTTGACAAAATCCAGCATCCTTTTATGATTAAAACCCTCAGCAAAATTAGCATACAAGGGACATATCTCAATGTAATAAAAGCCATCCATTACAGATCCACAGCCAACATAATATTGAATGGCAAAAAGTTGAAAGCATTCCCCCTGAGAACTGGAACAAGACAAGGATGCCCACTATCACTGCTCCTATTCAATATAGTACTGAAAGACCTAGCCAGAGCAATCACACAAGAGAAAGAAATAACAGCCCTCCAGATCAGTAAATAGGAAGTCAGACTGTCACTGTTTGCTGATGATATGATCATATACCTAGAAAACCCTAAAGACTCCTCCAAAAAACTCCTATAACTGATAAATGAATTCAGAAAAGTTTCAGGATATAAAATTAATGTACACAAATCAGTGGCTATGTTATACCCCAACAGTGATGAAGCTGAGCATTAAACCAAGAATTCCACCCCTTTACAATAGCTGCCAAAAAAGACAGACAACAAACAACAACAACAACAACAACAACAACAACAACAAAACAGCACCGGCTTAGGAATATACCTAAGCAAGGAGGTGAAAGACTTCTACAAGGAAAACAGCTTTAGTGTTTTTAATGTGTTAAAATGAGAGGCAGCAGGTACAGTGGAAGAAGTCAGTGGTTGGGCATTGGCATCCAACGGGTACTGGACCTTTGATGGTCAGACTTTGGTTTTGACTTACTAAAATATGAGGTATGATTATTTTCTAGTTTTTGTCATTAAACCTTAAAACTACTAAGCAAACCCTTCCATTTCTTGTTAAAGATTGTAAAATTTCATACTCTGTGATTTATGCTGACTGAAGTTAGATTTGTTTCTATTTTGTGACTACCTTAAATAATACCTATAAACAGTAAAGTGTTAGTAGTGTTTCTGCTGTAATTAAATGTAGTAAGACTTACCTTCCAAATTATAACTGAATTAATTTGTCAAACACTTGAACTTTTTGATTTATTCAACATTTTATGCTGAGCAGCTGGAGGTAGGAACAGTTAGGGCTCTCCTTTATTCTTATGGAGAGGCGTACTTTCTCATGAGGGCAATACTCTGCTAGAATTAGTATCTTGTAACCAGTTAGTGTACAAGAAAACATGTTTTGGTGAGGCTACTGGCAAAGAGATCCAAGAGGGTATATGGAGTCAAGCTTGCTGGAACAAGGAAAGAGAAAAGCATTATTCCAGGCAGAGAACAGGGGTACAGTAGGAAAATGCCTAGGTGCAGGTCAAATGATTTATAGAATAAAATTAATCAAGTTTTGAAATGAATGGAAAGTATTCTTTGAGGGTCTCATTTGAGTCATGTCATGGTGGTCTTATTTAAACATGAAGTGAAAGTTAAATTTTTTTTTTATCCTCCACATAAGAAAACAGGACTAGAGAAACTTATGTCTTCCTCACTTGTTGGTGGCCTAGCAGCTCTGGTACACAGAGCCTCTGAATCTAAAACACTTGTTTTGTCACAATATCACCTGAAATAATACATTTAGGATTAGTAACTTAGTAAACGCATTAGTCTTGTATTCATTGCAGTAAAATGGTCCTATACCAATATTATTTAATACATTACAATTTACTGTAGTAAATAAATAACAGAAATGAAAATTCTCAGCTGTTTTGTCACTATAAAAAAATGAAATCTTATTTTAAACTTTTCTCATTATTTATAAAGGCAATTCATAAAATCCTTGTTAGGTTTGATGATAGGTACCATATTAAGGGTAGCATTTTGTAACCCATATCTCAAACATCATCTGTGGCAATAAAGAGCCTCCAATGGGTTTTCTATAGAGTGCACATGATACCACACTCAGGCAGTTCATGGAGTGTAAGAAATATCCTAGTGCTTTGAAAAATTTGACATTTTAACCAATGAAAAAGTACACTTTGATAAGTTTAACTTATACTTCCCTTCCCCTTCAGGTATCTACTGAGCGTTTTACTCAACAATACAGTTCATGTTCGACAATATTCCTTGATGACAGCACAGCCAGCCAACCTCATCTTACAATGACACTAAAATCGTGAGTACAACATTAATGCCAAGGGACAGACTCCTTTATTCAAAAATTATTTCAGCCATTTGGTTGTCCTCTTCAGCAATCATTTTAAGAAATTGGAGTCAACTATATATTGATATCCAGATTCTAAATATTAAGTATCAGTTTCTCTTTTAATCTTAGACATCATGGTGGAAGGAAAAATCAGCAAATAAGCAATCCTAGAAAAAGTGTAGCTATTTATTTGATGCCTTTATGCCTTAAGACAATGTTGAACACAATGAGAAGGATAGGTTACCGTTACTGATTTTTCAGTGCATTGCAGGCCTAAATCAATGTGTACTACTTTGGACATTAGTCTTGGAAGAAGGAACAGCTTTTTCTCTTCTGGCACTACAGTGTATCTGCATTTGATTTTCTCCCATTGTGCATAAGAACTTCATGGGCCACAAAGATGTACTTTGAGAGCACCCTGAGATGAAGTTTTTTAAAAAAGGAACAACAACTGACACCACCACCAGCTCCACTGGGTTTGTCCAGTGTACATCATTATAACCTCCTTGGATTATGAGTGTTGATTTTTAGAACACAGTTTGGAAAGTGCTAATTTAGAAAATTAATGTCTTTGTCTTTAATTTTACTTTTCATTCTATAAACATAACTAGCTTACAAACTATTTTATTTCAAATGCTCTAGCATTTTTAGCTAATTCAATTGTCAGTAACTTTTACTTTAATTAAAAATGGCAGCTGACTCCTGACTTGGAGTCATCTCCCATCAGGGGTCGACAGACACCTCATACAGGAGAGCTGGCATTTGGCGGGTGCCCCTCTGGAACAAAGCTTCCAGAGGAAGGAGCAGGCAGCAATCTTTGCTGTTCTGCAGCCTCCACTGGTGATACCCAGGCAAACAGTCTGGAGTGGACCTCCAGCAAACTCCAGCAGACCTGCAGAAGAGGCCCCTGAATGTTAGAAGGAAAACTAGCAAACAGAAAGCAGTAGCATCCACATCAACAAAAAGGACAACAATGCAAAAACTCCATCAACATCAAAAGGTCATCAACAACAGCAATCAAAGGTAGATAAATCCATGAAGATGAGACAAAAAACCACACAACAATGCTGAAAATGTCCAAAACCAGAATGCCTCTTCTCCTCTGAAGGATCACAACTCCTCACCAGCAAGGAAACAAAACTGGATGGAGAATGAGTTTGACAAATTGACAGAAGTAGGCCTCAGAAGGTGGGTAATAACTAGCTCCTCCAAGCTAAAGGAGCATGTTCCAACGCAATGCAAGGATGCTAAGCAGCTTGATAAAAGGATACAGAAACTGCTAACTAGAATAAAGAGTTTAGAGAAGAACATAAATGACCTGATGGAGCTGAAAAACACAGCATGAGAACTTCATGAAACATGTGTATGTATCAATAGCCAAATTGATCAAGCAGAAGAAAGGATATCAGAGATGGAAGATCACCTTAATGAAATAAAGTGTGAAGACAAGATTAGAGAAAAAAAGAATGAAAAGAAACAAAGCCTCCAAGACATATGGGACTATATGAAAAGACCAAGCCTACGACTGATTGGTATACCTGAAAGTGATGGGAAGAATGGAACCAAGTTGGAAAACACTCTTCAGGATATTATCCAGGAGAACATCCCCAGCCTAGCAAGACAGGCGAACATTTAAATTCAAGAAATACAGAGAACACCACTAAGATCCTCCTTGAGAAGAGCAATCCCGAGACACATAATTGTCAGATTCAGCAAGGCCGAAATGAAGGAAAAAATGTTAAGGGCAGCCAGAGAGAAAAGTCGAGTTACCTACAAAGGGAAGCCCATCAGACCAACAGCAGATCTCTCTTCAGCAACCCTACAAGCCAGAAGAGAGTGGGGGCCAATATTCAATATTCTTAAAGAATTTTCAACCCAGAATTTCATATCCAGCCAAACTTAGCATCATAAATGAAGGATAAATGAAATCCTTTACAGACAAGCAAATGCTAAGGGATTTTGTCACCACCAGACCTGCCTTACAAGAGCTCCTGAAGGAAGTACTAAATGTTGAAAGGAAAAACCAGTATCAGCCACTGCAAAAACATAGCAAAATATAAAGACCAACAACACTATGAAGAAACTGCATCAACTAATGTGCTAAATAACTAGGTAGCATCATGATGACAGGATCAAATTCACACATAATAATATTAACCTTAAATGTAAACAAGCTAAGTGCCCCAATTAAAAGACACAGACTGACAAATTGGATAAAGTGTCAAGACCCATTGGTGTGCTATATTCAAGAGACCCATCTCATGTGCAATGACACACATAGGCTCAAAATAAAGGGATGGAGGAATATTTACCAAGCAAATGGAAAAAAAAAAAAAAAAAAGTAGGAGTTGCAATTCTACTCTCTGATAAAACAGACTTTAAACCAACAAAGATCAAAAAAGACAAAGAAGGGTATTACATGTGGTAAAGGGATCAATGCAATAAGAAGACTACCCTAAATATATATGCACCCAATACAGGAGCACCCAGATTCATAATGCAAGTTCTTAGAGACCTACAAAGAGACTTAGACTTCCACACAACAATAGTGAGAGATTTTAACACCCCACTATCAATATTAGACAGATCAGTGAGACAGAAAATTAACAAGGATATTCAGGACTTGAACTCAACTCCGGACCAAGCACATCTAATAGACATCCACAGAACTCTCCACCCCAAATCAACAGAATATACATTCTTCTCAGTGATTATTCTGAAATGGACCACTTAGATGGAAGTAAAACACTCCTCAGCAAATGCAAAAGAATGGAAATCATAACAGTCTCTCAGACCACAGTGCAATCAAATTAGAAGTCAAGATTAAGAAACTCACTTAAAACCACACAACTACATGGAAACTGAACAATCTGCTCCTGAATGACTACTGAGTAAATAATGAAATGAAGGCAGAAATAAAGAAGCTTTTGAAACGAATGAGAACAAGGACACAATGAACCAGAATCTCTGGGACACAGCTAAAGCAGTGTTTAGAGGGAAATTTGTAGCACTAAATATCCAGATCAGAAAGCAGGAAAGATCTAAAATTGACACCCTAACATCACCTTTAAAAGAACTAGAGAAGCAAGAACAAACAAATTCAAAAGCAGAAGAGAAGAAATAATTAAGATCAGAGCAGAACTGAGGGAGATAGAGACACAAAAAATCTCCTCAAAAAATCAATGAATCCAGGAGCCGGTTTTCTGAAAAGATTAACAAAATAGATAGACTGCTAACCAGACGAATAAAGAAGAAAAGAGAGAAGAATCAAATAGACGCAATAAAAAATGATGAAGGGGATATCACCACCAATCCCAAAGAAATACAGACTACCATCAGAGAATACTATAAACACTTCTATGCAAATGAACTACAAAATCTAGAAGAAGTGGCTAGATTCCTGTACGTAAACCTTCCCAAGACTAAACCAGGAAGAAGCTGAATCCGTGAATTGACCAATAACAAGTTCTGAGATTGAGGCAGTAATTAATACCCTAACAACTAAAAAAAGTCCAGGACCAGACGGATTCCCAGTCGAATTCTACCAGAGGTACAAAGAGGAGCTAGTACCATTCTGAAACTATTCCAAACAATAAAAAAAGAGGGACTCCTCCCTAACTCATTTTTATGAGGCCAGCATCATCCTGATACCAAAACCTGGCAGAGACACAATAAGAAAGGAAAATTTCAGACCAATATCCCTGATGAACCTCGACGTGAAAATTCTCATTAAAATACTGGCAAGCTGAATCCAGCAGCACATCAAAAAGCTTATCCACCATGATCAAGTCAGCTTCATTCCTGGGATGCAACATACGCAAATCAATACATGTAATCCATCACATAAACAGAACCAATGGCAAAAACCACATGATTATCTCAAAAGATGCAGAAAAGCCCTTCAATAAAATTCAACATCCCTTCATGCCAAGAACACTCAATAAACTAGGTATTGATGGAACAGATCTCAAGATAATAAGAGCTATTTATGGCAAACCCACAACCAATATACCGAATGGGCAAAAACTGGAAGCATTCCCTTTGAAAACCAGTGCAAGACAAGGATGCCCTCTCTCACCACTCCTATTCAACATGGTATTGGAAGTTGTGGCCAGGGTAATCAGGCAAGAGAAAGAAATAAAGGGTATTTGAATAGGAAGAGAGGAAGTCAAATTGTCTCTGCAGACGATATGATTATATATTTAGAAAACCCCATCATCTCAGCTCAAAAACTCCTTAAGCTGTGATAAGCAACTCCAGTAAAGTTCAGGATACAAAAATCAATGTGCAAAAATCACAACCATTCCTATACACCAGTAATAGACAGAGAGCCAACTCATGAGTGAATTCCCATTCACAGTTGTTACAAAGATAATAAAATACCTAGGAATACAACTTAAAAGGAGCGTGAAGGACCTCTTCAAGGAGAACTATAAAGCACTGCTAAAGGAAATAAGAGAAGACACAAACAAATAGAAAAATATTCCATACTTGAGGATAGGAAGAATCAGTATTGTGAAAATGGCCATACCGGCCAAAGTAATATATAGATTCAGTGCTATTTCCATCAAGCTACCATTGACTTTCTTCACAGAATTAGAAATACTACTTTAAATTTCATATGAAACCAAAAAGAGCTTGTATTAGCCAAGAAAATCCTAATCAAAAAGAACAAAGCTGGAGGCATCATGCTACCTGACTTCAAACTATACCACAAAGTTGCAGTAGCCAAAACGGCATGGTACTAGTACCAAAACAGATGTATAGACCAATGGAACGGAACAGAGGCCTCAGAAATAATGCCACACATCTACAACCATCTGATCTTTTACAAACCTGACAAAAGCAATGGGGAAAGGACCCCCTAATTAATAAATGGTGTTAGGAAAACTAGCTAGCCATGTGCAGAAAACTGAAACTGGACCCCTTCCTTACACCTTATACAAAAATTAACTCAAGATGGATTAAAGACTTAAACCTAAGACCTAAAACCATAAAAACCCTAGAAGAAAACCTAGGAAATACCATTCAGGACATAGGTGTGGGCAAAGACTTCGTGACCAAAACACCAAAAGCAATGGCAACAAAAGCCAAAATTGACAAATTGGATCTAATTAAACTAAAGAGCTTCTGCACAGCAAAAGAAACTATCATCAGAGCAAACAGCATCCTACAAAATGGGAGAAAATTTTTACAATCTGTCCATCTGACAAAGACCTAGTATCCAGAGTCTACAAGGAACTTAAACAAATTTACAAGAAAAAAAAAGAAATCAAAAAGTGGGTGAAGCATATGAACAGACGCTTCTCAAAAGAAGACATTTATGCGGCCAACAAACATATGAAAAAAAGCTCATTATCACTGGTCATTAGAGAAATGCAAGTCAAAACCACAATGAGATACCATCTAATGCCAGTTTGAATTATGAGCATTAGAAAGTCAGGAAACAGCAGATGCTGGAGAGGATGTAGCAAAATAGAAATGCTTTTACACTGCTGGTGGGAATGTAAATTAGTTCAACCATCGTGGAGACAGTGTGATAATTCCTTAAGGATCTAGAACCAGAAATGCCATTTGACCCAGCAATCCCATTCCTGGGTATATACCCAAAGGATTATAAATCATTCTACTATAAAGACACATGCACATGTTTGTTTATTGCTGCACTATTTACAATAGCAAAGACTGGGAACCAACCCAAATGCCCATCAGTGATAGACTTGATAAGGAACATGTGCCACATACACACAATGGAATACTATGCAGCCATAAGAAAGATGAGTTCATGTCCTTTGCAGGGACATGGATGGAGCTGGAAACCATCATTCTCAACAAACTAACACAGGAACAGAAAACCAAACACTGCATGTTCTCACTCATAAGTGGGTGTTGAACCATGAGAGCACATGGACACAGGAAGGGGAATATCAAACACCGGGGCCTGTCGGGGGGTTGGAGGCAAGGGGAGGGATAGCATTAGAAGAAATACCTAATTCGTGTGGGGCTTAAAACCTAGATGATGGATTGATGGGTGCAGCAAACCACCATGGCACATGTATACATATGTAACAAACCTGCATGTTCTGCACATGTATCCCAGAACTTACAATTTAAAAAAATGTGGCAGCCAGGCATGGTGGCTCACGCCTGTAATCCCAGCACTTTGGGAGGCCAAGGCATGCCAATCACCTGAGATCAGGAGATCGAGACCAGCCTGGCTAACATGGTAAAACCTCGTCTCTACTAAAAGTACAAAAATTAGCTGGGCGTGATGTCAGGCACCTGTAATTCCAGCTACTTGGGAGGCTGAGGCAGGAGAATCGCTTGAACCCAGGAGGCAGAGGTTGCAGTGAGCCAAGATCGTACCATTGCACTCCAGCCTGGGCAACAACAGTGAAACTCCGTTTCTAAAATCAATAATAACAACAAAGAGGCAAGTTTACACTCATAATAATGTCATTTCCCTCTCTCCTTTATCACAGTAATAGAGATGAAGTTATGTTTCAGGGGAAACTGGATTCAAACCCTGTATCAAGTCCTGAGCTTTGGGACCTATTGAGTAATCACTAAAGGTCTGTATTCAGCCAAGCCTCTAAATCCTTGAGCAACAACAACGACAACAACAACAAAAAGAAGTTACTGTGGCTCGTGTCCCTGATTTCTTTTGAATTCAAAAGTTTTGATGTGTTAGCATGTAATTTAAAAGTAGTTTTAAACATTAATCTTGCTCAAACAAATCACATGCTTTTTTCCTCGTTACTCTAATTTTTACAAGTCTGCTTCTGAAAGTAAAGTAAGTTTTAATTTCCCATCAACAAGTCTGAGAAATTATCATTTGGTATATTCATTATTAGTGAAATAAAGGTTTATTGAGCAAATTAATAGGGCAAATTGGCTTCAAGAAAAGATTTTGAAAAATGTTTATTACGAGTTAGTAGTGCACTGTTATCAATGGGGTAGATGGAACTCATTGGGATCACTTTTGCAAGGTTTTTTTGTTTTTTCAAAATACATATCTGCAAACATTTGTATCTTCCCACCTCAACCTTCTCTATCTCTAGGCACTGAGAAGCCCTTTAGGAAAATAAGAATGGATGTGAGGCATCTTCATGTGAAGAAAAGCATCCCAAAAGATTCTGATTTTCACTCCAACTCAATCATTCCAAACTTTGCTGCACTTTGAAATCACCAGAGAAATGTTTAACAACCCTGATGCCCAAAGTCCAACCCAATGCTAATTAATTAAATTAAAAAGTCTAATGTTGAAAATGAGGCAGTAAAGCTCCTCAGTTGATTTTAATGTGCAGCAAAGTTTGAGAGACACTGCTTAATTTGAGTTTAGGACGAGAAACTCCCCCTATTTGGTGGGACCTTGGGCAAGTCAGCTTTAAGGTTTGTTTCCCTGATCTGTAAAATGAGTATTGGATTAAATGTCACGTAAGGTCATTGGTTCTTTCCAGTATGTAACTTCAAATTCTGTGATTTTAAAATTATTTTAGAGATGAAAACTACTTAAAGCACTATAAACGTATCCATCTTAAATGCTAATGTTACAGGCTTTTTAAAAGGGGTAATATTGTATAGACCTATTATTAAAATTGAAATTTGCCTTCCCTCAGTTATTTTGAGCCTCATTCTAGATGCTCAGGGCAAATGGAAGCATGTAACGTATGTAAGAGAACCTCTTGTTTTGTGATATGCAGCATCTGTGAGTAACTTAGGAATACAGTTACATATATCTGAAGAGTTGTATCTGTTCATAAATATTTCAGTTAAAATACTTGAAGGTACCTGCCATTCATATTACACTGTGTCCTGTTACACTGCCTTGTCAGCATGGCTTATTTTAGGATCACTGCACCTATCATTGATTTCCTGTGTGCTTATGTTTACTAATATATTTTTAAATAATTATGCAAAAGTGATTTCAAATAATTTTATTTGTTATAAAGCACTTTCATTATGTATTTTTAGGGAAATAATTAAAAATGGGTGGTAGGAGATAGCGAACTAAACTAAAATGCAGGGCTTAACATCTTAAAAAAGAAAACACTGCTACTAAATGGCTTAAACATATGGGCGCATAGATGTAAACTGCATGAGGCTGTGTGCGGTGGCTCATGCCTGTAATCCCAGCACTTTGGGAGTTCCGAGGCAGGTGAATCACTTGAGGCCAGGAGTTTGAGACCAACCTGGCCATCAATGGCAAGACCCTGTCCCTACTAAAAATAGAAAAATTAGCTGGGCGTAGTGGCACAAACCTGTAGTTCTAGCTACTTGGGAGGCTGAGGCATGAGAATCGCTTTTACCTGGGAGGTGGAAGTTTTAGTAAGCCAAGATCGCGCCACTACACTCCAGTCTGGGTGACAGAGTGAGACTCTGGGTCAAAAAATAAATAAATGCATAAAGTAAATTGCATAGGATGAAAGGTTTTGTGGGTAGGAGCATATAACAGGGAAATATGTTATTACTTATATATTATAATCATCAACAGAAACGTCTTCTAAAAGCATACTGCCTTGCATTTTGATTCTCATATTTTTGCTAAAAGCCTAGAAATAAAAATAAGAAAGTGCCCTTATGGTACTGTTCTGAAATATAAGATTTGAATTTCAGAGCTGCTAGGAGAGTTTCCTCTGCCCCCTTTTAAAAAATGTCTTCAAGCCTAACAAATGGTAACATTTATTGTTGTGAATATTTTTTTTCCTTCTGCAGTGTGACCTTGGCGATATATTATCATATCAAGCAAAGGTGAGCTTTTTTAAAACCTGTCTTGTTATTCTGGCTAATTACTTTGTATGGTATCAAGCTCAGTGTTAGATCACAGCTCTAGACATCATAAGCTGTATTGTGCCTACTAAAATATCTAAGCAAATTATTTGTGTTTTCTTTGGTCCTTGAGACTTTTAAAATTCTTAAATGATAGAGTATCCCAATGAGTATGATTTTATATTGATTACATTGATATTTACTGTGACAGAAATATAAAATTGAGATTTTTTTCAAAATCTATTTTTAGTTTAGATTTCACAGCCTTAACACTATCGACATTGTGAGCTAGATAATGCTTTATCATGAGGACTGTCCTGTGCATTGCAGAAAGTTTAGCAGCATTGATGGCCTATACCAACTAGATGTGACTCAGATTGTGACAATAGAAAATACTCCTTGAGAACAATATTGTTAACATAAATTTTTAAAGGAAAAGATAACTTTTTTATGGTAAAATGTGTGTTGTGTATTTGTATTATTGAAAATCTGTAGTGTTGAGCTTAATAGGAGACAGCTGCATTCTCTAGCACTTTCTTTGCAATTTGCTTTAAAGAAACAATAAGATGACCTAGCCTTATGCAAATACATAGTTGGTAAAAGTTGCATTTTTAAAGCTTTAAGACAGTTGTGGGTATTCTTTAATACTAAATCAAAACTTCACAAGTGCTAGTTCCTTAAATTAGTTACAGTGGCATTTTACATATTCACAAATGTGTTCTCAATACTCACCCATCATTCTTGCACAATAAATGGTTTTTCCCCACATACTTGCATTTATAATATGCATTAGTTATTTGGAAAATATTGGTTTATGTTTTATTGTGTCAAAAATCACTTTTTAAATTTAACCACCAATCTTATTTTAAAATGTCTTTAAGTACTGAGAAGCTGTCAAGCTTACAGTAGAAGGAACAAGTTTTTTAAAGTCCTCAGGAAAGCTTAAATTTTATCATTGGAAACAAATACTTATTTTCCTTGTGACATGAGTGACACATTTCCTTGTGAATGAGTGATAGCTTCACTTCATTTATTTTTGAGAATGATAGTTGTAGCTGTTTTTTAGACTGAGTTTCACTCTGTCACTTGGCTGGAGTCCATTGGCATAATCTCAGCTCAAGCAATCCTCTCACTTCAGGCTTCTGAGTAGCAGGGACCATAGATGTGTGTCAGCATGCCTGGATAATTTTTTTTGTACTTTTGGTAGAGACAGGGTTTTGTCATGTTGCCCAGGCTGGTCTCGAACTCCTAAAGGAGCTCAAGTGATCTGCCGGTTTGGCCTCCCAAAGTGCTGGGATTCTACAGGCGTGAGCCACTGCACTGGCCGGTTGTATTTTTAAATGAAATTGATGTTTCTCTTTAGTTCCCTGTAGTATATTCTCATGATGTATTTGTTATTTTCAGTAGTTTAAATGAAAGGAAGCTAGCAAATCTGAATCACATTTACTTTCATTAAAGTTCTAAAGAGATTATTACCCACCACTACTGCTTTGTAAAACGTTCTTGTGTTTCAGTGTGTGGTTAGAGGAGTGAAAATGTGTTTGGTTTCTTGTCATTGCCTGTTAGGAAGGGTCAATACTTACAGGCAGTTCTGACTGGTTATGATATAAAAGACTTCACAGTACAGGACAGGCTGTGCTGAGGAAGAAGAGGTCAGGAAACCCTCTGCAAGTCAGTATCAAGGAGAATTTGTAAAAACCGTTTGCTTGGGTGAAGTAAACACCAAAGCACATAGGCACATAGAAGACATTATTTACTAAACAGATATTATACTAAGATATTAACAGTTTTTGAAGTAATACACATTCTTATTTTATAGAGATGCAGATAGATCTTTGGGCATATTTGATGAACGGTTACACCCACTTACAGTAAGTGTCACTTTTGTTTTTTGTTTTTTGTTTTTTGTTTTTGAGATGGAGTTTCGCTCTTGTTGCCCAGGCTGGAATGCAATGGTGCCATCTTGCCTCACTGGAACCTCGCCTCCCACGTTCAAGTGATCCTCCTGCCTCAGCCTCCCACATAGCTGGGATTACAGGTGCTGCCACCATGTCCAGCTGATTTTGTATTTTTAGTAGAGATGGGGTTCACCGTGTTAGCCAGGCTGGTTTTGAATTCCTGACCTTGGCCTCCCAAAGTGGTGGAATTTCAGGCATGAGCCACTGCACCCGGCCCAGTAAGTGTCACTTTTATTGAGTTTATATTTTCCTTTATTTTTCTTTTTTTGAGACAGAGTCTCGCTCTGTTGTCCAGGCTGGAGTGCAGTGACATGATCTCAGTTCACTGCAAGCTCTGCCTCCTGGGTTCACACCGTTCTCCTGCCTCAGCCTCCTGAGTAGCTGGGACTACAGGCGCCCGCTACCACGCCCAGCTAATTTTTTGTGTTTTTAGTAGAGATGGGGTTTCACCATGTTAGCCAGGATGGTCTTCATTTCCTGACCTCGGGATCCTCCCACCTCAGCCTCACAAAATACTGGGATTATAGGCGTGAGCCACCACGCCCGGCCTGAGTTTGTATTTTCATCACAGATTTGTATCTGTTTCATGCCCTCAGTCAAAGGCATCTTTTTTTAAGTCTTGCTCCCCATTTCATGTGGCATCTAGTCATCTTATTTTGAAAGTATTGTAAAAAGAACATGCTGGAATAAGAACTGATCTGCAGGTATGTTTAATTAGCTATTGTGAGTAAATATACTATCCAAATAACAGAAAACCTATCTTTTTAAAAGATAATTGTCAGTAGTATCAAGCAATATAAGTATATGTAAATACTTTTAACACAGAAGCATGATTTTTATGAAGAGGGTTAAAAATAATTTAAGTTCGCTGGGTGCAGTGACTCATACCTTTGTAATTGCAGCACTTTGGGAGGCCGAGGCGGGAGGATCACCGGGGGTCAGGAGTTTGAGACCAGCCTGACCAATATGATGAAACCCTGTCTCTACTAAAAATACAAAAATTGGCCAGGCATGGTGGCACGTGCCTGTAATCCCAGCTACTCGGGAGGCTGAGATAGAAGAATCGCTTGAACCCAGGAGGTGGAGGTTGCAGTGAGCCAAGATCACACCATTGCATTCTAGCCTGGGCAACAAAGGCAAAAATCCATCTCAAAAAAACAAAGCAAACAAACAAACAAACAAACAAAAAAAAGAAGAATTTAAGTTTATATCAACTTACATGGTGTAAAAATTTAAAAATGTACTTCCTCAGGTACATAGTAGCTATATGTGGCTAGTGACTATTGTATTTATCAGCACATGCTTAGAGCCTCATGGTTACAGAAAACTATATTATTTTCAAAGTTTATTGCAGGGAAGAATGACATACGGTCAGTAAGACATTAAAGCCTATTAGTAGCTTGCATTTGGATGGAGTTATGTGGGGGAAAGGATAAAAAAGAACATAAACTTTTCTGAGCTTAAACTCATATTATTTTTAAGTGAATGTTGATGAGTATTAAATCATTATGGTATTTCAGGATCCCACCGTTCATTTTGTAAACACTAAAAGACATCTCACCAATCAAAATTATCGTAAGTGACACATGGGCACAAATGTGAACACTGCTGTCTTAAGAGCACCTCAGGTTTTTTTCTTCAGTGGATACTTACATTGCATCTTTTCTTCTTTCAGCGAGAAGAGGTTTTGGAGGAATATTTTAAGTATGATCCTGAACACAAATTTATTTTCAGATTTGTTCGTACTCTGTTTAAAGCCAAAAGGCTAACAGCTGAATTTGCAATCGTCAGTTTGGTAAGATATTTTCTATTTATAAAGCAGCTTTAGAAATTCTTCTTGTAAACAGGGTGGTATGGTCCTGTTTTTTAATAACAGTAAGTTTCTGAAATTATCTCAGAATTTTAAGATAAACTTATGAAAGCAAATATATACATTTCAGTTGAATCATCATTATGGCTTAAAATGTCACAATTGCTTTTCTCATCACAGAACAATTGCTATTAAAGGCAACAGAAGGGATTTCTGATTTCTCCCCCAGCACTTCAGTAAACACAGTGCATACACATCCAGGGCATGTGGAGGGCTTGGAATGGGGAGCAATAACAAAACCATCTGGCCGATGGGCAGGAAGGGATGCTGGTGTAGCTCTAAGCTGAGTCCCAGGCTGTATCCCCAGGCAATTCTGATACATGTTGTCAGTGACAGCTGCTGCCTTCAATTCTTTGTTCCTTGGATGATATGTGTTAATTTATCCCTACTGATGACCTGTGCATGCTCAGGAAGTTGCCCAGGAATGTGGTTCCAGTCGGTCTACCAAACCATAGCTGTGTCATTACATTTACATTATCCCTATAGAATTCCTTTTGTAAAACTATAATTTTAAATAATAAATTATGTTCAATTTATTAAAAATAGTCTTACTCCTTCCCACAACAAACCTGTATAAGAAAGTCAACTTCATGGCAAGGAATGAAAAAATACTTAGGTTAATACTTCTTTAGCAACCAGTTAGACTCTAGGGGAGAAGGCACCTACTGTGCACTTGAATCAAAGCCCTGAAAGGGCACTGGACCAGATACAGGCCTTCTCGAGGAGCTGCAGGTCGTTTGGAACTCTTAGCACATGCTAGAGGGAAGCAGGATGGTGCTTCCAGCTCTAGAGAGATAGGTGATGCAGGAGGGAAAGCTGGATTGGAAAAGGGAGAGTTTTGTACGTGGGCTAAGCTTGATGTGCCTTTGAGAGAGCACAGTAGCAGAGTCTAGTCATCATTTGGGTATACAGGACTAGAGCATGAATCTGACGAGCTACAGAATGAAGAGCAACAGCAGCTGTTTATCGAGAAAGTGTGTAGAATGAAATTGGACAAGCTGAGCATGGTGGTTTCATGCCTTTAGTTCTAGCTACTTGGGAGGCTGAGGTGGGGGAATTACTTGAGCCCAGCAGTTAAGTCCAGCCTGGGCCAGATGATGAGACCCTGTATCTCATTTTATTTATTTATTTATTTATTTATTTATTTATTTATTTATTTTTATTTTTTTTTGAGATGCAGTCTTGCTCTGTCCCCCAGGCTGTAGTGCAGTGGCATGATCTCGGCTCACTGCAAGCTCTGCCTCCTGGGTTCACGCCATTCTCCTGCCTCAGCCTCCCGAGTAGCTGGGACTACAGGCACCCACCACCGCACCTGGCTAATTTTTTGTATTTTTAGTAGAGACTGGGTTTCACCATGGTCTCAATCTCCTGACCTTGTGATCTGCCCACCTCGGCCTCCCAAAGTGCTGGGATTACAGGTGTGAGTCACCGCGCCCAGCCTATTTATTTATGTATTTATGTATTTATTTATTTATTTACTTACTTATTGAGATGGAGTCTTGCTTTGTCGCCTAGGCTGGAGTGCAGTGGTGCGATCTCGGCTCACTGCAAGCTCCGCCTCCCAGGTTGACGCCATTTTCCTGCCTCAGTCTCCCAAGTAGCTGGGATTACACGCGCCCGCCACAGCGCCCGCCTAATTTTTTGTGTTTTTAGTAGACACAGGGTTTCACTGTTTTAGCCAGGATGATCTCGATCTCCTAACCTCGTGATCTACCCGCCTAAGCCTTCCAAAGTGCTGGGATTACAGGTGTGAGCCACCGTGCCCGGCCGAGACCCCGTATCTTAAGAAAACAAAAAGTGAGGCCAGGTACAGTATCTCATGCCTGTAATGCCAGCACTTTGGGTGGCCACGTTGAGAGGATTGCTCAAGTGTAGGAGTTCAAGAGCAGACTGGGCAATAAAGTGAGGCGCATTTCTACAAAAAAAACTTAAGAAATTAGCTGGACGTGATGGCACATGCCTGTGGCACCAGACACATGGCAGGCTGAGGCAGGAAGATCACTTGAGCCCAGGAGGTGGAGGCTGCACTCTAGCCTGGGCAACTGAGTGACATCCTGTCTCAAAAACAGATAAAGTGAACAGAAAATAGGTCGGTAAAGACTATTATCATTTGAGGGACAAGCACCCAGAGGAGTGGCTACCAGAGTGGGAAGAGGAAAAGCAGAAGAGGATAAAAGGAGAAAGAGTTCAAGATAGGAGAAACTGTGGTCACAGTGCTGAATGCTGCCAAGCAGTGACTTGATTCGTGAACTCTCACTGGATGCTGACTCTGTGCCACTCTTCTAAGTGCTGGGGTAGAGGAAAGGACAGGTGGAACACAGTTCTTGCTTTTATGAGCTTATGTTCTAGGAAGATGGAACTTAAGTATTTTCTCAGGTAGTATGAAACAGCAGGAAGAGGAAGCAGGATAAAGGGTTACAGAGTAATTGGGGACTATTTTAGATAGAATGATAAGGAAGAGCCTCTCTAGAGAGCTGACATTTGAACAGTGACCTGACTGAAGGAACAACGAGTAAGAGTGCTGCCATTGCAGGCAGCAGGATGACTGCCAAGACAGACAGAAATGTGTTTCACGTGTGTTTGAGGAACAAATGGCAAGGAGACCAGCACGGTCAGAGTGAAGAATGAGGGAAACAGTGGAGATGAGGCCCCACAGGCAGTACCATAGCTCACAGTGCCCTTTGGCTTATAGGCCGTAGGAAGAAGTTAAGGTTTTAGTCCAGTTTGATGGGAAGCTCGTGGTAGATCTTGAACAGAGGAGTGCCATGCTCTAAATGAAGATGTTCTACTGGCTGCTTTGGGGACAGTAAGCCATAGTTGGGAGGCAGAGTGGAAGCAGCGAAGAGGGTTAAGAAGCAACTAGGGTAATACAGGTGAGCAGTGACAGACTGTGGGTCACCATCAAACCATGCAGACTACCAGTGAAGGTAGACATAAGAGGCATTGCACACAGATTGGAGTAGGGGAACAGAAATGCAGGTATTTGGCCCCAACACCTAGGCAAATGGCAATGGATGCAGACCTTTATTTTGTCAGCGTGAAGGCACAAGAGACAAATGCCTGTTGGCAAGAGGAGCCTTGGAAGAGTCATGTCAGCAGGGACAGGCAGTGTAGCTGAAGGAGAGATGGAAGATGAGGAGCTGGTATGAGGGGATGGTGCTGTGAGCACCAGTGAGAGGACACAGTTGGAGAGGAGTGGGGAGTGGGATGGGGACAAAGGAAACACAATTTGGAGGAAATCTCTGGTAGAGAGGAAGAAATTCTTCAGAAAGAGGTGATTGTGGGAACAGTGTGCTGCAAAAGTGAGATGGGATCAACTGCACTGAGGGAAGAGTTGGCATCAGTGGGAATAAAGAATTCTCAAACTCACCCAGAAGGGCACGTGGCATGGATGAGTGTCAGCAGGTCAGCAGCTTAGCAGGAAAGGGGACAGGAAGTAGAGGGCTTGCTATGTTGTTTCAGAGGTCCTTGATTCCTACGCAGTTGGACCCTGGGAGGGAGGTTCATTCTTGAAATATTTCAGAGCGTAGAGTTTGGGAGAAATGGAGCAGAATCTGTAAAATGTCATGTTCAATAACCATTTATTTTTGAAAACATACTTGTGTTTGGCAGTGTTCAGATCAGTATCAGATCTGGCAGTGTTCTGCATCTGATACCCTTCAGACAAGGAATAAACTTGCTTATTTATATAAAGTTTTGTCTTTCTGTTTTGATGTAAAGAGTTCAAGTAGCTCACAGACATACAGCTCTGCAGAGCACCCTCTGAGGTAATAACATGTCACAGCTCACCTTTAATCTTTACTCAGGTGTTCACTTTGCCCAATTCTTTGTAGGACAGATGTTTGATAGATGTAAAGCAATTCATGGAATTGTCTCGCCAACTGCCTGGCAGGTTTAGAGGAATGCCAGGGATACAGAGACTGGTGGCTGTTTCCACCTTAAAACCCACAGAATTGTCTAAGCTGCAGGTGATGTAAGACAGAATAAATTTTTATGAAGTGAACATGAAGATGTGAAAAATAGGGGCTGTGAGAAGGACCATCCTTTATACACATGTATTTCTTATCAAGTGAGCAACTGAATATGGGGAATGGTATACAACCCCACAGACCTGTGCCTGCCATGTTGCTCTGTACAGCAGCTACTGGGAGGCTGTCTTGACCAGCAGTTTTTTAAGCTAGTGCCACAGAAGGGTGAGTTTTTGTGAAAAGGAAGTTAATATTTGCTCACTATCACATCGGTTTTACATATTCAAGCTTGACGTACTTGTAAAATTCCCATCTACCTACTAGCTTCGTGTGAGACATTACATGTGGTAGGCACTTAAGGATTTATTGAATGACTTTAATCCACACTGGGCCTGTATGTGTGCTGTCTTTTATGAGTGTGAAGGTGACAACACTTCCTATCTTCATGATACCCTTGGCTGAGATGTACAGTCATTCTTGTGACCAAAATTGGGCTGTGAATTTCCATGGGCAGAGTAGGTAGCAGAAGTATCTGACCTACGATTGTGATGTGTCCCCTTGTTCGGCCTGATCGAGCAAATCTCTGTAGAACGTAAGCATAAGCACTTACTTTCTGGTCAAAACCAGAAGATATCTGTCATTCGTAAGAGTTCTTATCACAGCACTTAAACTGAGCTAAATCAAAGGCCAGTGCTCTGTTTTGCAGATTTACATAGAAAGACTTGTAAGTTATGCTGATATCGACATTTGTCCAACTAACTGGAAGAGGATTGTCTTGGGAGCCATTCTTCTTGCCTCCAAGGTTTGGAGTGATATGGCTGTGTGGAATGAGGACTACTGTAAGCTCTTTGAGAACATTACAGTTGAAGAAATGTGAGTTTGTACGGTTTTTGTGAACTTTCTAACCATTTTTCAGTACTTTGTGTGCTCCCATAAACTTAAACACTTTAAGAAATATTTTTAAAGGTTACATTGTGCAGATAAGGAAAATGGGTGTAAACACTACATACTTTTTCCATCCAGCTTTAGAACAACGGTTCATATTTTTCATTGTTTGCTGGTAGGTCTTGGTAAATTGATGTCTTAATAATCTCATAAGTTGAAAAGTATTTTTCTGGTGAATATTTTTGACATTATCTTACCAGTGTACTAGCAGAACATAATAATACAGTGAATATCTTTATGACTTTTTCAAAGCTGTGTGCAAGTTTCAGTCTCTTTGTAATGAGCACAGGTCTAGGACCTCTGGACTGTGAAAAATGTGTAGTTTCACCCCGAGTTACACATTGTGAATTTGCTTTTTGCTGGTGTTGCCCCTGCTTTTATCGGAAGTTCTGTTTTATAGAAACCTTGAGATACAGAATAGCCGCAGATCCCTGTGCCCTTGTCCCATCCCCAATCCCCAAGGAGTGTTGCATGTGTTTAGAAATTGGGCTGTTGAGTTAGAAGTTCCAGTGTTCCCCCTCAGGCAGTCTGCGAAACATTGCTGGAGCATTATCCAGTGCTCACCACACTCAAGAGGTTCCCAGGGCACTCATACAACCACACCAGCACTTTGGGGGCCCCGTGTTACCTGTGAGAGTGCAAGAAATCTTGCTGAGTCATGGGGCTGCTCACAGATAGCACCAACATGATACTGAAACAGGAGCTTCCTGGGGTCTTTCTTCCAGTCTGGCCTCGTGACTGCTGTAAAGGGAAGGGCCTTGGAGCTGGTATGCAGAGAGAGCCAGGGAGGCATTTCCAGCAGAGGCTCTCACAGTGTCCACTAGACAGCGAGAATGGCTTTGTGGGTGACACTTAGGGAAATCTGAAGGAACACCTCTTGATGACATTGAGCAGCATATGAAGATCAAGATCATGACAAACAGTGGTAAGAGGTTTGGGGTTGTTGTTTTTATTTTTAATTTTTATTTCTTTACATTTGCCTGTTACTGCAGTTAAGACTGTCTTTCAGAATGTATGCAGTCCCAGAGGTGGAGCCTAATGACTGAATAGCAGTCTCTGCCAATTGTGCTCCCTGCAGGAATAGTAAATTTATCAACTATCTAAATAAAAAAAAAAGCATCTGCATAGGAACTAAAAATCAGGTAAGCAATTACAGTACCTGGTTTTAACTTCATATCACTGAAAGAAGCACTGAATAGTGTAGAAAAAACAGTCTTGAATTGCTGATGCCACCCCTTCCCCATGTCCCAGCAGTGGACCTGTGGTGAGGAGAGGGGCTACATCCTTGGGGGAGGGAGAGCACAGCAACTGTGGGACTTTGCACTAAATTCAGTGCTGCCTTGTTGTAGCAGAAAGCAAAACAAGACTGCACTCATCCACTGCCCACCCACACAGGAAATATTTAGACTAGCCCTAGCCAGAGAGGAATTGTTCATCCCAGTGGGTGGAACTTGAGTTGCGAAAGGTTACTGGCTACTGTGGGATAAAATACTCTGGAGTCCTTAATAAACCTGGAAGTCTGTCTAGGCCACAAGGACTGCTGTGCTGCGCTTGGAGACGGTGTATTTAGGAGAATGTGACCTACAGAGACGGCAGCTGGGGCAGCTAGGGAGTGCTTGCCCACCCCTCCTCCAGTCCTAGACAGTGCAGCTCACAGCTCTGACAGAGACCTCTTTCTTCCACTTGAGGGGAGGAAAGAGGACTTTGTCTTGCAACTTGGATACTAGCTCAGCCACGGCAGGAGAGGTCAGAGTCATGAGACCCCCATTTCAGGTCCCAGCTTCGGGATAACATCTCTAGACAAACCTTGGGCCAGAAGGGAACTTGCCGCCTTAAAGGGACTCAGTAATGGCAGGATTCATCACTTTCTGATGAAAGAGCCCTTGGGCCCTGAAGAATCACCAGTGGTGAACAGGTAGTACATGCCATGGGCCTCGAGTGAGCCTCAGAGATGTGCTGGCTGCAGGTGTGACCTAGCACATTCCCAGCTGTGGTGGCTATGAGGAGAGACTCCCTGTATTTGAGAAAAGCTGAGGGAAGAGTTAAGAGGATTTTTCTTGAGCTTAGATACCAGCTTAGCTACAGTGGAGAAGAGCACCAAGTGGACTGTTGGAGGCCCTGATTCAGGCCTTGGTTCTTGGATGGCATCTCTGGACCTACCCTGGGCCAGAGGGGAGTCCGTTGCCCTGAAGAGTTCCAGGCCAGGCAGCATTCACCACAAGCTGACTGAGAGCACTTGGGCATTGAGTGAGCATCAGTGATGACCTGACAGTAATCCCCATGGGACTGTGATGATGGTGTATGTGGAGACACCTGGGCTGTCTGGGCAAAGGGGAGGGAAGAGTGGGAATGGATTTGCCTGCTAGATTTAGTGCCAGCCTAGCCATGGTAGAGCAGAACACCAGGTAGATGTCTAAAGTTTATGACTCCAGCCCTGGCTCCCAGACAGCACCTCTGAACCCATCCAGGGACCAGGGGAACTTACTGCACTTAAAGGAAGGACAGAAGACTGGCTGGCTTTACTACCTGCTAATTGTAGAGCCCCAGGGACTTGAGTGGCAGCAGGTACTTGTTATAGTAGGCCTTGGCCCGCCACAGTGCTGTACCAGCTTCAGATCTAGTGCTGTCCTGGTGGTGGTGGCCACAGGGGTGCTTGTATTGCTCCTCTCTGAGCCCCAGGCAGCCTAGCACAGAGAGAGAGACTTCATTTGTGGGAAAGTGAGGGAAGAAGTGAGTCCCTGTCTGCTAATCCAGAGAATTCCTTCAGGTCTGGTCTCCGACCACCAATGTGGTACCTCTACAAGTCTGCAAAACACAATGACATTCTTCACAGAAATAGAAATAAAAAATGAATTCTAAAATTTATATGTAACTACAAAAGACTCAGAGTATCCAAAGCTATCCTGAGCAAAAAACAAACGAAACTGGAGGAATCACAGTATCTGATTTCAAATTATACTCTATAGCTATAGTAATCAGAACAGCATGGCATTGGCATAAAAACAGACACATAAACCAATGGAACAGAATAGAAAACCCAGAAACCAATTTATACATCTGCAGTGAACTCATTGTCAGCAAAGGTGCCAAGCACATACAATGGAGAAATGACAGTCTCATCAATAAGTGATTCTGGGAAAACTGGATATTCATATGCAGAGGAATGAAACTGGACCTCTGTTTCTCACAGTATACAAAAATCAAATCAAAATGGATTAAAGATTTAAATCTCAGCTGGGTGCAGTGGCTCACGCCTGTAATCCCAGCACTTTGGTAGGCTGAGATAGAAGAATTGCTTGAGCCCAGTAGTTCAATACCAGCCTGGGCGAACAAGTGAGATTCTGTCTCTATTTTTTAAAACATTAAAAATTAAAAAATGTATTTAAATCCAAGACCTGAAATATGAAACAAATAAAACATTGGGAAAACTCTCTGGGATACTAGACTCAGCAAATATTTCTTGAATATTTCATAAGCACAGGCAGCCAAAGCAAAAATGGGCGAATTAGGTCACATCAAGTTAAAAAGCTTCTGCACAGCAAAGGAAAGAATCAACTAAGTGAAGAGACAACTCACAGAATGGGGGAAGATATTTAAAAACTATCTGACAAGGGATTAATTACCAGAATATTTAAGAAGCTCAAAGAACTCCATAGAAAAAAAATCTAACAATCTGTTTTTTAAAATGGGCAAAATATCTGAATAGGCATTTCTCAGAAGAGGACACATTAGCCAGGCATGATGACACGTGCCTGTGGTTTCAGCTGTTTGGGAGGCTTGGGTGCAAAAATTACGTGAGCCTTGGAGATTGAGGCTGCAGTGAGCTGTGATTGTGCCACTGCACTCCAACCTGAGTGACAAAGTGAGACCCTGTTTCGAAACTAAGGCATATGAATAGCAGATAGGTATATGAAAAGATACTCAACATCAATATCATTAATCTTCAGAGCAATGCAAATCAAAATTACAATGAGAGATCATCTCACCCCACTTAAAATGGCTTTTATTATAAAGATAGTCAATAACAAATGCTGGTGAGGATACAGAGAAAAGGTAACCCTCATACAAGGTTAGTGGGAATGTAATTTAAGTACAACCACTATGGAGAAAAGTTTGGAGGTCCTCAAAACTAAAAATAGAGCTACCATATGATCCAGCAATCCTACTGCTGGATATATATGAAAAGAAAGGAAATCAGAATATCAGAGAGATACCTGCACACTCATGTATATTGCAGGACTATTCACAACACCCAAGATTTGGAAGCATTCCGAATGTCCATCAACAGATGAGTGGCTAAAGAAAATGTGGTACATATACACAATGGAGTACTATTCAACCATAAAAGAGAATGATATCCTGTTATTTGCAAGAACATGGATGGAAATGTTGAGTGAAATAAGCCAGGCACAGAAAAACAAGCTTCACATGTTCTCACTTATTTGTGGGAGCTAAAAATTAAGACTGTTTGTTTGTTTGTTTTTTGAGATGGAATCTTGCTCTTTCACCCAGGCTGGCGTGCAGTGGTGCTATGTCTGATCACTGCAACTTCCACCTCCTGGGGTCAAGTGATTCTCCTATCTCCGCCTCCTGAGTAGCTGGGATTACAGATGCGTGCCACCATGCCTGGCTAATTTTTGTATTTTTTAGTAGTGATAGGGTTTCACTATGCTAGCCAGGCTGGTCTCGAACTCTTGACCTCGTGATCCAACTGCCTCAGCCTCCCAAAGTGCTAAGATTACATGCATCAGCCACTGAGCCCGGCCTCAAACAATTTAACTCGTGAAGATATAGAGTAGGAGAATCGTTAGCAGAGGCTGCTAAAAGTAGTCTGGGGGATGAGGAGTAAGGGGTAATGGTTAATAGGTACATACATATAGTGAGAAAGAATAAACAAAATCTAGTGTTTGATAGCACAGCAGGGTGACAACACTCAAGAATTATTTAATTGTACATTTTACAGTAACTAAAAGAGTGTAATTGAATTATTTGTAAAACAAAAGTATGCTTGAGGCATGATGGATACTTCATTTACCCTGATGTGATTATTACACGTTGTAGTCATCAAAATATTTTATATACCACGTAAATATATACACCTATAATATACTCCAAAAACATATTTAAAGATTTTCATTCAGAATTACTACACTGTATATTTACAAGTGAATTGAGGATTCTTGTTTCGAAGAAGAGACTCACTAGTGATGGTCAGTTGGTTTTGAAATGGCTACTAAATTACTGCTTTGCTAATAGTAGAAACTGAGTTGTCATGGTGATATCGCTAGTAGCCATTTTAGCAAAGGATGTTAAAAGGAAATGAATTTGAAACAAATAGAAGTACTTTGAAAGCTGCAGAAGCTAAAGTGCTCTTAATCACTGCTGTCATCAGTCTATAAACTGGTTTCTTGAAGGGAGCAAAATTTGTAATTATGAACCCTTAGCTCCGTTATAATGGCGGCTAAATTGTTCTCAAAACCAGCAGCTAACCCGGTGGGGCTCTAGTTCTAATTACAAGGTCAGAGAATATGCAGAGAAATGTGCAGGTTTCCACAGATGTGAGCTCCAGAAGCAGTGGTGGCAGAAGCCAGCTCCAGTTCTACACAATGCTGTTTGTAAATGCAGAAGCACCCAGAGCTATGCTCTGAACAGGAGCCATGTTCACGATTTTTAGAAATTGTAAAACATTGCAACAAAGTGTATAATGTACACTTATCTTGTCCCTCTGCTGTTGATTGTAATGATCTCTTTTAGACTGTAGATTGAACCATTTAAGAATTAGTGTTTATCAGATTTTTCTTAAACCTTTTCAACATCTGTTTGTCTTGTTAGTATATATTTTCCTTCAGAAGCATCACTAATTATCAGGGAAATGCAAATGAAAACGACAGTGTGATACCACCTTACTCCTGCAAGAATGGCTATAATTTAAAAATTAAAAAATCGTACATGTTGGTATGGATTAGGTTAGAAGGGAACACTTACACTGCTGATAGGAGTGTAAACTAGTACAACCACTATGGAAAACAGTACTGCCATTCAATCCAGCAATCTCACACTGGGTATCCACCCAAAACAAAAGAAGTCGTATGAAAAAGACACATGCACATGCATGTTGATAGCAGCACAATTTGCAATTGCAAAAATATGGACTGCCCATCAACGAATGCGTAAAGAAAGCTTGGAATATATACACCATGGAATACTACTGATCCATAACACAGAATGAAATAATGGCCTTTGCAGTAACTTGGATGAAGCTGTATGCCATTATTCTAAGTGAAGTAACTCAGGAATGGAAAACCAAATATATGTTCTCACTTATAGGTGGGAGCTAAGCTATGAGGATTTTGTATGTATTTATACACACACACACACACACACACACACGTACATACATATAAGTTAAACTGAGCAACTCCTATTCAGAAAATTTGCTGTGCCTGTAAAGGGTATGCTATTCAGCCATTTAAAGAACAACAAAAAACTAAGAAGATATGTATCCTTTAGGCATAATGGTTTTCTTCAATAACTAAGTCTCTATTAATAACATGTTAATTATATAAAATACTGTATTTTATACATTTAAAATATGTTTATGGAAAAACATAAGAGATTATAAAGTGCATATATTCCTATAGTAAATTAAGTCCTGATTAGCTGATTATTAAAGTGTTATCTGATTTGCATTCCTATAGTCTTATGGTTATATGAATAGGAAATTAATGTTGAAAGTTTCAGTTAGGTTTTCAGTTAAACAAATGAGAAAACCATATATCTGCTTATATCTTGACTGCTTTCCATACCGGAGAACATCAAGCATTTGTTGACTTAGCCAATGGATAAAACTTTAAAACCAAGAAACCAAATATGTTGTTGAGGTATTAATTGTTTTTATACAGTTAAGTCTTTACAGGGATTACTATGAAAGTGGTAAGATTACTCTAGTTTTATATTTATTTAAACATTTGACAAAGTGCTGGATACACTGGCTCATGTCTGTAATACCAGCACTTTGGGAGGCCAAGGTGGGAGTATCACTTAATCACAGGAGTTTAACACCAGCCTGGGCAACAAGTGAGACCCTGTTTCTACAAAAAGAATTTTAAAAAATAGACCAGCTAAGTGGCATGAACCTGTAGTCCCAGCTACTTGAAAGGCTAGGATCATGCCACTGGACTTTAGCCTAAGCAACAGAGCAAGACCCTGTCTCAAGACAAACAAACAAACAAACAATCTTTGGCCAGGACAGCTGGATAATCATGTGGCAGAGGGCTGCTCCAAGCCTGTTCCCCTCTCACTGCATTCAACTCATCCCCACATTTTGTTCTGGCCAGGGGTGACAGATGCATCGGAGCACCTTAGGGTTTCGTTTCCAGCTTAGGAGAAACACTGTGTAAGGCCAGCGTCCTACCAAAAGGCATGTCATAAAATGGGTTTAGTCTAGCCAAGGTGTTTCTCTTTGATTTTTCTACAGTCTGAAGTGTAAAGAGTATTCCTGCCCCATAATAGTGACAGTTAATAAATGGCATCCATCATTTCTGTCATCTGATCACTATTGCGGTGCCTTGGGGGTGAGCATGGAGTCTGAGTTGTGCAATGGAACCCTCAAAAATGGGCCCTGAGTCAACTGCACAAGTGCAGAGAAGGCTGTCCCCTTTCTCCTCATCCCAAACTTGGGGTGCTGGATGCAGAATGGACTGCAAGCAGCTGTGCCCTGTTTGGACATTAGTGTAGGAATCCACCTGCATAGCCTGTATTTGTTTCAAAAAAAGAATTTGGAGCTATTCTAGTAGATCAGTGTGATATTTTTAAATAAACAGAGAAAAAATTTATTAACTGACTTAACAAAAAAACACTGCCTATTAAATTCATTTAATATTGTTTAAGGAGTATCTACAAAATTCTGACCTCAGTGTTGTCTTGCAAAAGAAGTGGAAGTAAGGACAGAGACCCTTTCAAATGAAGAATCACTGAGAAACAATGTTTATAAGTAGTATAACATTTTCTTACGCACATTTTTTAAGATTATGCCATAATCAATTTGCATCAGGCTCTCCAATTTAGGAACACTGAGAGGATTTCCCTGTAGGGGAAGTTTTCACATAAATGTTGAAGAAATTGTTAAAACTGAAAACTTTTCTGTATTTGGTAATCTACTAGGGTTCCAATCCAGTGTGCTGTCTTAAATTTCTAAGGTCTGTCTACAGTGTGTGTTATCATGGGTCTTGGAGCAAATATAATGTAAATGAAGGCATTTCCACATTCTATACATTCATAGGTTTTATTTCAGAAATGAGTTCTTATCTTCATGTGAAACTGAAACAATTGAAGACCTTACCATGGATGTTTGTATTTATAAGGGTTTTCTCCATTGAATCTTTTCATGTTTTCAAAGAAATGAAAAAGCTGAATTTATCATGTTTCTTAAGATTATGTCGTTTTTCTCCATATTAAATTCAAATATGTCTTTGAAAGCATGAGGGAAAATCAAGTTATTAACCCAGTTTTTACATTCATATTGTTTTTGTTTTTCTAAGTTTTGAAAGAAAACTGGGAAAGTTGCATGCTTTCTTGTAGATCGTAGGGTTCTGTACAGTGTGAGTTCTTTCATGTGATCTAATAAATTAGAGTCCATGGTAGCTTTACCACATTTCTTACATGAGAATAATATTTTTGAACTAACATTGTCCTGTGTTGGTTTTGTTGTGTTTCTCCTTCCCCAGGAATGAGTTGGAAAGGCAATTCTTGAAGCTAATTAATTATAATATTGGCGTTACTGGCAGCGTTTATAGCAGATTCTACTTTGATCTTCGCACCTTGGCACATGACAATGGCCTGTATTCGCCAGTTTATCTTCTTGACAGAGAAAGAGCATGGAAGCTGGAGGTAAGGCTACGAAGTTACTAAGTGGGTTTTCAGTCAAACACCAATGCCAACATCTGTGACTAGGTCATATTAAGTAGTGATTAGAAAAATGGAAAGCTTCAAAATTAACTAACATACTGAAGAGCTTATTACCTTTTTGGCATTCTATTTCCTGTATCTTTTACAGTTTTTACAAGGATCCACATTATTTGAAAATTATAGATATTATCTTCTCTTTTGTGACCATAATTCAGAATATTTTAATCAAATTTAATTCATTTGTAATCTTTCTCGTTTGAACCTTTACCCTTTCAAATCATATGTAAATGATTTCTTGTTATTGTATTCTGAGCAATGTCTACATACATAATGCACTTAGTACTCTTGACTTTTTTTATTATTCAGTTTGCAAATTTATGTCATTTTCTACTGTATATACCACAGTGCAGTCAGTCCCATGGGTTTGTTAGACAAAGCATCAGTGCCTAAGCCAAGAGACCTGCACTTAGACTGTGTAAGGTGTATGTTTCTCAAGTACTGGATGCAGGAAATACATGGGATTTTACTGGAAATAATAACTTTTATGGGACAAAGTAATATTTATGGTTTGTGACTTTTGGTAAGTACACAGCAAAGTTACAGCTGACAAGGATGAACATTTAAAATAGGCATGTTCTGTGGTACCTCGGAAGTATTTTAAAATCATACATTTTCTATCATAATTAATGTGCAAGTGAAGTAGTGCCTTTTGATGCTATAGTCATTAGACTTCTTTGATGTTCCGATACAATCCAGCACCTGCTTGCATCATTAAAATTTGCTTTGAGTATATAACAACTATGATAGATTGTGTAGAGTTTGAATAGACTAATAAACTAACTTTTTTGCAAAAGTGTACATTCATTATCTTTAAGGAACAAGTACACAGGTAACAGATGATACTGCTCTTAGAAGGCTGTCCCAATACTGTGACATCTTTGGGAGCCTAATTTTTAAGTAACTTAATAAAACAAGTTCCCCTTGTCTCCAGCAATCTAATTCTAGCCCTGAGATTACCTTAGTGAGGTGACAGAACTTGGCAGTGTAAACCTCAGCCAAAGTAACTATAACTGGGACGGGCACGGTGGCTGATGACTGTAATTCCAGCACTTTGGGAGGCCGAGGTGGGTGGATCACGAGGTCAGGAATTCAAGACCAACCTGGCCAAGATGGTGAACCCCTGTTGCTACTAAAAATATGAAAATTAGCTGGACGTGGTGGCAGGTGTCTATAATCCCAGCTACTCGGGAGGCTGAGGCAGAGAATTGCTTGAACCCAGGAGGTGGAGGTTGCAGTGGGCCGAGATTGTGCCATTGTACTCCAGCCTGGGCGACAGAGCAAGACTCCTCAAAAAAAAAAAAAGAAAAAAGAAAAAAAAAAAAGTAGCTGTAACTGAACTATCTAAAGGAGTTGCATGTGTGGCTTATCATTTGTGACTGTTAAAAAGTTGGAATCCTTTTTAAAATTGTACCTCTTTTCTGTTTGACATTCTTAGGCTTTTTCAAGGATGGAAAAATACAAAGTTTTCTATAGTGCTGCCAAGAATGGGTCTTTGAGTGCTGATGATTTAATTCATCTTCAGCGTGCTAAGGCCATCCTCTTCTGAAGGAAGAAATGAGGGGTAATGTAACATCTGAACCCCTCATCAAAAAAGATGGGAAAATATCACCTCTTCTGCTAAAGAACTAGAAAAGTTGGTATTTTCAAAAGAAGAAACACCTCAATTCAAGTAAACTCAAGGAAAACTAAGATTGCACTTCATAGTAAAGAATGGGACCTTGTCAGGGTAACAACACACTCTTACACTCTTCTGTCCCGTTTAATGTATACAGAGTTATAAAAACCACTCCAAAGTGAAGACTCCTTCTGCCCACACACAGATATTTGCTTAGTGTGTGGGCTGATAGCTGTGAACTATGTAAGGCTTTTAAAACAATAGCTTAACTTTTTAGATGTTAAAGATAACTTTTCTGTTTCTTTATGTTTTTTCTTTTCCCCAATATTGCTGCATATGCATTTGGAATCAGTGCAGTATCACTGTTAAAACGTGGGAGTCTAACAACTCCTAAAGCCACTAGAAGCAGACCCAGCATTGTCAGGTATGGAAGGACTCTTCCTACTTTTACCATGAAAGCTACTAGTTACTGGCAATCATCAAGCAAAAGCTGCCAGATAACGTTTGCCATTCACATCCTTTGTAAGCCCTTCTTATTAGCAGTTTAGCATGTTTGGGGTCATAAAAAGAGAAAGTATTGGTTATTGATTATCTACTTTTATGAAGGTCTGTGTGTATTTCTTGTGAACTATAATGGTTCTCATTTGCTGATAAATTTTCTTATTGTTAAGTAAATGTATTCAAAGATGTTTTCATAGTGCCAAGCAACATGGTGATCCAGTGGTTATGTAAAAATAATAAAATATGAGGTGTCCTGAAAGTTTCAGGGCAGTTTTTAGCTTTAATATAGTGTGCCTGGGCCCTCCAGAGGACTGCAGCATATATATACATGCTATAAATCTTTACAAAATATCATTTGAAAGTGTAATTGTATTTTTTCTTTTTATTTTTAATAGATGGTGCCTCACTATATTGCCCAAGCTACAGTGCAATCAGAGACACAATCGTAGCGCACCACAGCCTGAAAACCCTGGCCTCAAGCAATCTTCCCATGTCAGTCTACCAAGTAGCTGGGACCATAGGTGTGTACCACCGCCTCTGGCTTTATTTTGCCGAATTTGAATATTAAGCTTTTAACTTTTTGTTTCAGTCAATATCTGCTATCTTCAAGAAGGACTAAAACAAAAAACTAAAAGCTTAATATTCAGGAACTAGGCATGTTTGTAGTCCCAGCTACTCACAAGACTTAAATGGGAGGATCACTTGAGGCCTAGCCTTGGAGGCTGCAGTGCGCTGTGATTGTGCCTGTAAATAGCCATTGCACTCCAGCCTTGACCACATGAGACCCTGTCACTTTAAAAAATGGCAAAACTAAATAAACGTTAAAAAAAATACAACAGGCTTTTCAATGATGTTTTGTAAATGTTTGTAGCGTTGTTACTTTTACAAGTATCAAAGCTTAAAATTACACTAAGACTTTTGGAATTCTTGTGTTTTTATAAAGTTCCCTTTTCTCTTGTAAAGTAGCTCTTTGGATGGCTTTTATCTGCCTTGATAACCTCAAAGTATTTTCCCTAGATGTGATGAAGAGGAGGATCTGTGTTAATTCACATATAGCAAATGAGAAGGAATTGGACCATAATAGTAGTAGGTGATGTAATACATTTTATTATCCCACATGTTAACCTGGGTGCAGGTATCATATTTCATGTCCTGCTATTTAAAAAGAACTTCCATAAGCCTTAGGAACACTAGCTACTGAAAAATATCATTTATGGAAGGCAGAACTTAGACTGAAGTATTGATTGCAGTTTTATTTTCAAAAGATAAATGCTACAATTGATGTGGTTTTCATTTCTCATGTTTATATTAAAAGAAAACCGAGTAAACTATTTAATTAAAATGTGGCAAATGTGTTTATAACACTTCTATTCACATAGTGTTTCATCTCTGCCTAACTTAAATAGTTTAAATCAGTCTTGATAGGTCTTAAAGCATTTTTGTAAGTTGCCTTGACCATACACAAGTTGGTTTAATCCATGCCTGTATTTAAGATGTAATATTTCTTTTCTCTCTTTTTTTTTTTGAGACGGAGTCTAGCTTTGTCACCCAGGCTGGAGTACAGTGGCGTGATCTCGGCTCACTGCAATCTCCGCCTGCCGGGTTCAATCTATTCTCCTGCCTCAGCCTCCCGAGTGGCTGGGACTACAGGCGCACACCACCACACCCCACTGATTTTTTGTATTTTAGTAGAGACCAGGTTTGACCGTGTGGCCCAGGCTGGTCTCGAACTCCTGACCTCAGGGAATCTGCCCACCTCGGCCACCCAAAGTGCTAGGATTACAGGCATGAGCCACCATGCCTGGCCCTCAATTTTAAGAAAATTTATTACACTTAAAATAACTCTCTGGCCACAGTACTTAATGGCATAGTGCATTAGATGGCATCTTTGAATAGCTGGTTATTGTATCTGAGAGGAAAAACACAATAGAATATGAAATTAGATAAATATACCAAAGAGAAAGGATTTCCAGGAATCATGTAAAATTAGAACGAGGGTGTTTGAAGTTTTCAGTTACACAGAAAAAATATGGAAGTACAGAAAGTAGAATTAAAGTTGCTGTACAGAGGGTGACCTAAACCAACCACATAATTTGACTTTAGCATACTGTTTTCAAGCTTACATTTTAGTTAAAAATAAATCACTGTTTTTTCTGAATTAAAATTCTAGCCACTCAGCTTCAGTGATTCTCACTAAATCCTGATAATATTGGTATATTTTTATCCATTTTAATTATTTAGTACCTAAGTTAAAATCTTCAGCTTATCACCTTATCTTGATAAATTGCAAACTAGAATCAATGATCTGTATTAAACTTAGAAGAAAAAGTGTATGATGAATCCTTGTTTATAAGATGATTTGCACCTTATAATATGCCATTAACTAAGTAGAAGTACTGACATATATAAGTGGTCAAAGATTTAAAAACCAGTTTGGCAGAGGGACACTGGACATAAATTCATGACTTCAAAAGTAAGTCAGGGCTGGACGCAGTGGCTCAGACCTGTAATCCCAGCAGTTTGGGAGGCTGAGGCGGGCAGATCACTTGAACCCAGCAGTTCAAGACCAGCCTGGCCAACATGGCAAAACCCCTTCTCTACTAGAAATACAAAAATTAGCCAAGCTTGGTGGCAACCGTTTATGGTGCTAGCTCATCGGGAGACTGAGGCATGAGAATTGCTTGAGCCTAGGAGGCAGAGGTTGCAATGACTATCCCAGCCTCACCCTTAACTTTTTCTGCTACTTTGCAATGTAGCAGTGTTTAATGTTTGTCACTCACCTCCCTCTCATCAGCTGAAAGAGCTTGTGAAAAATGCAGCTTCTCCAAATGCAGTATGGCATCCTGGATTTGATCCTGGGACAAAGAACATGAGTGGAAAACCTGATGAAGTCTGGAGTTAGTAGTAATGTGCCAACACTGACTTTTTAGTTTTAACAAATGTACCATGTCAATACGAGATGTTCACATTAGTGGGGAACAGGTAAGGGCATACAGAAACTGAGTTATTTGTGTGAATTTTTTAAGTGTCATTTTATAAAACAGCCTTTTGGGCCCCAGATCTAATGAATCTCAATTTCTGGCACTGAGGCCTGGGGATCTAAAATTGTAACACATATCCTAAATGATTCTTAGATTCCAATTGAAATCCTTGTCTTGCCAATTTCCTTTTATTTCTTGTCTGAACAGTTGCCTCTCCCTTGTTTCACTTATCTTACTCCTTGAACTCTTCCCGTTATCTGATTTTCCCAGATGAGAAAACTGCATAGTAAGAGGTGGAGTGTCCAGGATCATAGAGTTCATAAAAGGTGAAGCTGGGACTTATATTCCCAATCAGCCTGGCTCCCAAGTCTATGCTTACAGCCGTTCTGCATCAACCCTATTTCTATTCATGATAAGCTCAAGAGCTCTGTAACTAAATCAACAAAAAACACCATTCTTACCAATATTATCCTGGGTTCACCTATTTCTCCACCTTTTTAAGTCCAGCAGCCCTTCTTTCTTGCTTCAGCATGTGGACTTTGCCCTTTCCCTTTTTTTTTTTTTGAGACAGAGTCTTGCTCTGTTGCCCAGGCTGGAGTGCAGTGGCATGATCTCGGCTCACTGCAAGCTCGGCCTCCTAGGTTCACACCATTCTCCCACCTCAGCCTCCTGAGTAGCTGGGACTACAGGTGCCCACCACTATGCCTGGCTAAATTTTTTTTGTATTTTTAGTAGATATGGGGTTTCACCATATTAGCCAGGATGGTCTCGATCTCCTGATCTCATGATCTGCCCACCTTGGCCTCCCAAAGTGCTGGGATTACAGGCATGAGTCACCACGCCTGGCCCCCTTCTTTTCCACTGGAGGAATATGAGCAATGGGAAAGCATGGGGAAGACGTGCTGATGAGAGCCCTGCACACAGAAGGTGGAAGGTGCAGTTGCCCTTCTCTCAGGACTCAGCTCAACAACTGTATTTTCTAGTCTGCTTCTCCCAGCTGCTTTAACTTAGATACTAATGTAATGAAGTTCACAACACCTGCCTTGACATGAAATTACATGCTCTCATATATTACTAATTCACTTCTCACTAGATTTATGTGGTCTCCCTGAAACACTTTAAGCTCCTAATTACGGAGTCATGTCTCCCACATACTATATCTCAGAGTATGACAGAGAATGCTGACATACCAGGCCTTAAAGTGAGGTGGTGTTGGTAGATTGGTGGACAATCTTTATTTTGCCAAAGCAGCAGTCGGCAGAAGGTGGTGTGAAAATAGCATCTCAGGCTCAGTAAGCATCTGGTTAGATTACCAGGGAGAAGCCGACCCTCAGTTTGTACCTGGGCTTCCTGATGTGGGTTTATAGCTCAACAGCAAGTTGTGGACCCAGCAGCTGAATAGAAAAGTTTTGGGAGTTTCTGTCCTCCAACCAGATGCACAAAAAAGCATCGTGTCTATTTAGATTGTTTCAGCATAAATGGAGCATTTATAAAATGGAAGGCAATCTCGGGCAATTACTGTTTTTCCACATATCTTCATTTCTTCAAGGGGATCATAAAACAACAGGATTGCTAGGAGAAACCTAGGAAGTATATTCAATTAAAACATGTTTTAATTAGTTCTACTTATGTTATTGGAATTTGCTTGAGTTTAAGATTAATAAAATTTTTGCTGCTTATATTTTAAGTACATTTGAAAAATCTGATTCTAAAATTAAAATCCACATCTCTCCTCACATATCCTTAGGAAGCAGTGTATCTGCATGCAAACATGAAGAGAAAGAGATTTCTATGGCATCTCTCTATTTTCTCTGCTATTGCTTTAATATATTTTAAAATTAATGTGCATTAATTGGGAACAAAGAAAAGCACATTTCTTTTTATCGTAAATAACTAATTTCCATATTTAACAAAAATCTTAAATCATTTTACCTTTCTACAAATACAAGCAAAACTTTTTTTGCAAATAATAAAGTTAACAGAAATATATGGGACTAACATAACAAAATACAGCTGCCATTCTACTCATTC